AGGCTTCGAAAGAACCCAAAATTTAAGGGTTGAAAAAACGCCAATTTTTGACATATTTTTCAAAAAAAACCCTTAAAAAATTTGTTTACAGAATTTTCACCAAAAGAGATTTTTTGTAGAAAGTCCTAACGAGTCAGAAAAATGTAGGCTCAGCCAAATCGGATAATTAGAAAAAAAGTTATAGCACTTTAAAGATGGGTGTACGTTAAGTGCATTTTTGCATTTCAAAAACGGCCTCATCTTAGACCCATTTCTGGGCACTTTTTGGCAATTTCGAGGATTGTGACGTCATTTTTCAAAATTTTTTCGAAATTTTTTTTTTTCTTACCTAAATGATATTTTTTAAAATCCTTTCAACTGGAGCATCTCTGGGACTCACCAGATGTAATTTTAGTATAAAAAAAAATTTTTTTAAAAATTTTTTTCAAAGTAAAAAAAAATTGCGAAAAAAATTTTTTTTCACTTTGCCGAAAAAAATTTGGCTTTCTAAACAAACGAAAAGTGTACATGCAAAAAATGAGCCGAATGGGATAATTAGGGACAAAGTTAGAGCAAAAATTCCAAAAAATGTATTAAAAAGAAAAAATATGTATGCAAGTCTAGCATGAAAAAAAATGCAAAAAATTTTTTGTTCATGACGCCCTTATAGGTCTGAGTTTATATACTCCCCTGGAGTGTAAATCCAAAAAATAGGACGAATGGGACAATTAGGGACAAAGTTAGAGCAATTTAAATTTTGACTATTGAAAAAACACCGATTTTTAAAAAAGTTTTTTGCAAAAAAAAGCAATAAAAAATTATTTTACAGAATTCGCACAAGGAGGGATCATTGCAGAAAGTCCTAACGAGTCTGGCGAACGTAGTCTGAGTCAAAAAGGACAATTAGGGACAAAGTTAGAGCATTTTAAAGTTGGCGAAAACCCCTCAAAATCCACAAATTTTTCAGCCTATTTTTGTCACGTTTTGCAAAAAAAAAGGCAAAAAAAATATTTTTTCTTTATTCGCACAAAGAGGGTTCTTTGCAGAAAGTCCTAACGAGTCAGAAAAACGTAGGCTGAGTCAAAACAGATGATTAGAAAAAAAGTTATAGCAATTTAAAAATGGCGATGCGTCAAAAAAAGGCTTCGAAAGAACCCAAAATTTAAGGGTTGAAAAAACGCCAATTTTTGACATATTTTTCAAAAAAAACCCTTAAAAAATTTGTTTACAGAATTTTCACCAAAAGAGATTTTTTGTAGAAAGTCCTAACGAGTCAGAAAAATGTAGGCTCAGCCAAATCGGATAATTAGAAAAAAAGTTATAGCACTTTAAAGATGGGTGTACGTTAAGTGCATTTTTGCATTTCAAAAACGGCCTCATCTTAGACCCATTTCTGGGCACTTTTTGGCAATTTCGAGGATTGTGACGTCATTTTTCAAAATTTTTTCGAAATTTTTTTTTTTCTTACCTAAATTATATTTTTTAAAATCCTTTCAACTGGAGCATCTCTGGGACTCACCAGATGTAATTTTAGTATAAAAAAAAATTTTTTTAAAAATTTTTTTCAAAGTAAAAAAAAATTGCGAAAAAAATTTTTTTTCACTTTGCCGAAAAAAATTTGGCTTTCTAAACAAACGAAAAGTGTACATGCAAAAAATGAGCCGAATGGGATAATTAGGGACAAAGTTAGAGCAAAAATTCCAAAAAATGTATTAAAAAGAAAAAATATGTATGCAAGTCTAGCATGAAAAAAAATGCAAAAAATTTTTTGTTCATGACGCCCTTATAGGTCTGAGTTTATATACTCCCCTGGAGTGTAAATCCAAAAAATAGGACGAATGGGACAATTAGGGACAAAGTTAGAGCAATTTAAATTTTGACTATTGAAAAAACACCGATTTTTAAAAAAGTTTTTTGCAAAAAAAAGCAATAAAAAATTATTTTACAGAATTCGCACAAGGAGGGATCATTGCAGAAAGTCCTAGCGAGTCTGGCGAACGTAGTCTGAGTCAAAAAGGACAATTAGGGACAAAGTTAGAGCATTTTAAAGTTGGCGAAAACCCCTCAAAATCCACAAATTTTTCAGCCTATTTTTGTCACGTTTTGCAAAAAAAAAGGCAAAAAAAATATTTTTTCTTTATTCGCACAAAGAGGGTTCTTTGCAGAAAGTCCTAACGAGTCAGAAAAACGTAGGCTGAGTCAAAACAGATGATTAGAAAAAAAGTTATAGCAATTTAAAAATGGCGATGCGTCAAAAAAAGGCTTCGAAAGAACCCAAAATTTAAGGGTTGAAAAAACGCCAATTTTTGACATATTTTTCAAAAAAAACCCTTAAAAAATTTGTTTACAGAATTTTCACCAAAAGAGATTTTTTGTAGAAAGTCCTAACGAGTCAGAAAAATGTAGGCTCAGCCAAATCGGATAATTAGAAAAAAAGTTATAGCACTTTAAAGATGGGTGTACGTTAAGTGCATTTTTGCATTTCAAAAACGGCCTCATCTTAGACCCATTTCTGGGCACTTTTTGGCAATTTCGAGGATTGTGACGTCATTTTTCAAAATTTTTTCAAAATTTTTTTTTTCTTACCTAAATGATATTTGCGAAAAAAATTTTTTTTCACTTTGCCGAAAAAATTTGGCTTTCTAACCATAATTGGTTAGTAGGTAGATAGTTACTTAGTTAGTTCGTTAGTAAGCAACTAATTTAAGTAACTTAATTAGTAACTAAGTTTGTAAGTTAATTAGTCAATGGATTAGTAAGTTAAAAAGTAAGTTAGTTACAAGTTAAATAATAGTTAGTTCTTAACTAATTTAACTTGTTTGTTAAGTAAGTAAGTTACCTAAACAGTAAGTTAGTTAGTAACTAAGTTTAGTAATAAGTTTGCTAATTATCAACTTAGTTAATTAGTTAATCAGTAATTAAGTTTGTAGGTTAGTTAGTAATGAATTGTATAAGATTATTTGCTAGTTAGTAACTTTCTATCTTACTAACTAAGTATCTTAGTATGTTAGTAACTATCACTGAGGAAAATATTTTTATGATACTGCCATAAATATGGTCAATACTCGCATATTATATTGGTGGATACGGAACTGCCATACAGTATTGCTGTTTCAGCCATACGGAGTGTAGAACAGCCATATGTATGTGAGAGACAGTAATATGTATGTGAAGAACACCAATACTGTATTTTAAGAACAGCAATACAGTGTTGCTGTTTCAGCTATACATCCTAACCATACTTGTATGTCAAAAATGACATTATCATTTTTTCAGTGTAACTATCTTACTAACTTACTTACTTACTATAACTACCTTACTAAGTCACTTATTAACTAACTTAATTATTAACTTACTAACTTATTAAATTACTAGTTAGTTAGTTAATAAGTTAGATCATAATTAAATTAACTAGTTAATTAGTTAGTAACTAAGGTAATTTGTACGTTTGTTAGTTAACTTTTAGTAATCGTTAGTAAGTTAGTTCATTAGTAAGATAGTGAGTTTGTAAGTTAGTTAGAATGTTAGTTAGTAAGTTAGTTAGTTAGTTAGGAAGTTAGTAAGCTACTTAGTTCGTAAGTTAGAAAGTTAGAAAGTTAGTTAGCTCGTTAGATTAGTAAGTTAGTTGCTAACTAACTATTGTCCCTGGTGAAGCTAAATTCGTCAAATTTTGACAAATCGTTGACTTGATGTTTGATTTATAGTAAAATTTCATTTTTAGTCAATAATAACACCAAAACGAAATATTTTAATCCTTTCTGGTGTTAATTTAGTACTAGAGGGATTAAACTGTTGCAGATTATTTTAATCTATTTTTGTGTTATTTTAACACCCCACGATTTACTGTGAGGAGTTTCAATCTCATTTTTATTGGGCAAAAGTCTTTATTTTCTATTTAGGGGTTGAGACTAAGTGATTTATTTTGAAAAATTAAATATTCTCGCAATTTTTCAATGTAGAAACAAATAAGAAAATAGGATTCTTGAAATAGGGGGAGTTTCAATCTCATTTATATTTTCTAAAAGTTTTAATTCTTCAAGATAATAAGACTGAATGCTATATTTTTAAATAATTAAATATTCTCACAATTTTTTAAAAAGGAGAATGGGAGTATTTTTTTTTTTTGTTTTTATAGGTAGGAAGAGTTTGAATTTTTTTGTAAATCTCGACAATAAATAAGTTTAATAGCAAAATTGAAAATAAAGACTTTTGGCAAATATAAATGAGTTTGAAACTCCTCCTATTTCAAAAATGGTAGTTTATTATTCGTTTTTCTATTGAAAAATGGAGAGAATATTTTATTTTTGATTCAAAGTCCTTCTGTTTACTAAAAGCAATTATGTATACATAATTGCTTTTAAACCGATAATTGACACAAATTTAAAAATGCACGTCTTTGGATAAAAAAAAAGTTATGTACTTTATAAGTACAATTATTTATATTTAATATATATACGTTAGGCATTTCTTTTCGTTCTTATATTTATTTTTTAATTCATGTGTTAGATATCGCTCAGTGAACACCAAAAAACTGTTTTATAACTGTTACAGATTTGTTCCATATCTATAACATTTATGGAACACACTTTTTTGGTGTTCACTGGGTATAATGCACTTCTTCATTAATAATTATAAATGTATAATTATAATTATTATTATAATGAAAAAGTGCATTCTAATTTCTAACAGATGAATTTATTTATATGTTTTAATTTAATTAATTTTAATTTATTCGTTTTAATTTAATTAAAATATGTTTTAATTTCCAAAAGTTTGGATGTTTCTTTGTTAAAATTATAAAAAGTTCGAATGTTTATTTCTTAGAATTTCTAAAGGTTCGAATATGTTTATATATATGTTATAATTTCTAAAAGTGTAAATGTTTGTTTGTTCGAATAGCTAAAAGTTCGAGTACTTATTTGTTAGAATTATAAAAAGTTCGAATGTTTATCTGTTACAATTTCTAAAAGTGTAAATGTTTATTTGTTCGAATAGCTAAAAGTTTTTAGAATTTTTTAGAATTATAAATAGTTCGAATGTTTATTTGTTAGAATTTCTAAAAGTTATTATTATTATATTTATTTTAATACAATTTTCAATCAAACAAGAATGAATAAGAATTATAATTAATTCAAAATTAGGTATCGAACTAAATTGAGAAATGGCGTAGAACAGTATATGTCCGCCAGATTGGATCCGCCATTTTGAATTTTGACCCATACGGAGTTGCACGTAAATCCGAGAGTTGGGCTTATCGTAAATACACCCAGAAAAGTGAATAGGTAACAAACTGTGACCTCTGTAATATTTTTTATTAAATCTAAAAAGTACAAAACGATGAGTATCTATTGTAACTTTGTTAAAGTAAATTTTGTTATTTATTGAAACCAAATAATAGAAATTATTAAGAAGAAAAAATAGTTTAAAGAAAAATAGATAAATTCTTCTGCTTGTAAATTCTTGTTATACCTATACTAATCCACTTTTTTAATCGCTTGAATCGCGTAAAAAATGGAAGTCCATGACGACCAGTTCCACACATTCTTCAATGGATTATAAACCATTCCTTGAAGTGACGTAGTTTCGCAATTATCTAAAAAAAATTATTATTAGTAGACACAGTGAAACTACTTCTAATTATTCACAAACTTACACTTTTTCAATAATCCTTGTGTATCACTTGGTGAAATAAATTTATTCCAATCGTGAGTTCCTTTTGGTATAAATTTTAAAATATATTCGGCTACAATTATTCCCCAGAACCAAGAAATGAAAGTCTTATTTATTGTCGTCAAAATGATTACTCCACCAGGTCTCAATAATTCTGTACAGTACTGAAATTAATTTACTATTAAAAGAAAAAAATTAACATCAAAATGTTACATTTTTTATGCTCCTAGTTTCGAACTTTCAAATGAAGGACGATATTTTTAACTAGGAAATGTTACGCGCGGAAGGACCTCTTCCATTTATCTATATTAATAAAATCAGACTTCTGTCTGTACGTTGCTCCAAAATTAAAAATTTTTATATATTTTTTCGTTTTGAGACATTAGAATTCGAAAAATGTAAAAAAAAAAATTTCTGTCTGTCTATCTGTATGCAAAACTTTGTTCGCGCATCAATTGAAAACGGTTTAACCAATTAAAGTGAAATTTGGCAGTCTATTAGGTATTAACGTAACTTAAAATCATAGCCTTATCCGATTAAAAAATATTAACTTGAACGAAAGTTAAGACATTTTTCCAAAAAATTTGAAAAATCAAAAAAATGCAAATTTTTTATTTTTTGTAAAATGAATGCAAAACTATCCTTAGCTAACTTTTTCAGATAAATACAACCTATTTCTACAATAAAATTTTTAAAAACGACGTATTTTGAAATTTTTTTTCGTTTTTTTGGATCAACTTTTTTCTAAAAAAATAGTGATTTTTAATCTTTAAGCAAGCTTTTCAGGAAAAGTTATTAAAGTTTTTTATTTAAAGATCAGTATGTAAAGTAAGAAATTTGCTACATTAGACAAAAATAATGAAGCTAAATGCCATAAAAGAGAAAAAAAAATATTGAATTTTAAGAAATTCAGTTTTTCGAAATTTTGGGTGGAGACTATTAACTAAGTAAAGTATTTTTTAAGAGCCCAAAAATAATGAAGCTAAATGCCATAAAAAAGAAGGAAAAATGTTGAATTTTAAGAAATTCGGTTTTTCGAAATTTTTAATAATTTTTGATTTTGTTATAATTCTTCCGAAGAATTCAATTATTTTCATAAATAATAACATTCTTTGGAAGAATTCAGTTATTTTTAAACATATTCAAATTTTTGGCAAAAATTTAATTATTTTTAACAAAATTTTAATAAATCCTTTATTTTCAAAATATTAAAATCTTTGCAACAATTCAATTATTATCAATCGAATTTTCCAAAAGAATTCAATTATTTTCAAAAATTTTAATAAAATTCTTCGTAAAAATTCAATTATCTTTATAAAAAATAAAGTTCTTTGACAGATTTCCATTATTTTCATTAACAATAAAATTCTTTGGAGGATTTCAATTATTCTCAAAAATTTGAGACAAATTCTTATGAAGAATAAATTTTTTTTTTTATAAATAATTGCATTCTGTATAGAATTTCAATTATTTTTAAAAATGTGAAAAAAATTCTTGTCAAGAAATCCTTTGGAAGTGAAATTCATCGCAAAAATTAAATTATTTTTTATAAATAATAAAATTCTTCTGAAGATTACAATTATTTTCAAAAGTTTTAATAAAATTCTTCCTAAAAATTCAATTATCTTCATAAAAAATAAAATTCTTATGAAGATTTCAATTATTCTCTTAAATAATAAAATTCTTCTTAGAATTTCAATTATTTTCAAAAGTTTTAATACAATTTTTCGCAAGAATTCAATTACCTATCTTCATAAAAAAAATTTTTTGAAAAACTTTAATTATTTTCAAAAAAATTTTAATAAACTTAAAAAATCAAATGTTTCATTATAATTATTAACAGACACGATTATTTAAAAAAAAATTTTTTATTCTTTGTTTAATTTAATTATTTTCAAAAAATTTCAATTAAAATTATACAAAAAACTACATTATTTAAAAAAAGTACAAAGAAATTCATCAAAAGGATTTACATAATTATATTTACAAAAACTCGAATAAAATGGTTTAAAAGAGTTCATTTTTCTATAAATAATTTTGATAAAATTGTAATAGTAAAATTATTAATTACAATTATTAAGAAAATGGATTATATTCAATACATTAAAGGAATTTTTTAAAAAAATTCAATTATTGTCAAAACATTTAATAGTAGGTATCTATTCTTCGAAAGAATTAAATTATTTTCTAAAAATTTTAATAAAATTCAATATAATTAAATGTTTTTGAAAGGAAAAATTATTTAAAAAGTTAGGAAACAAAAAAGCAAATAACAACTAACTTCAATCTGCGAACAGATTACCGAAACACAATTATTAATATAGAAGATTACTTCTTTTAATTTGTATTTTTTATAAAAAAAAAAATTTTTTTGTTCATAAAAAAATTAATTCTTAACTAATAGAAATATTTTTAGTTTTAAATTATTTTTCTATTTTGTGTAGTAATTTAAAAAAAATATTTAAATAGAAAAAAATTTCGTTAATTTGAATTTTCAAAATTTTTAAAGAATCCTTTTCTTCAAGAATTGTAAATTTAATATAAATTTGTATTCAAATTAAATTTTGAATTAAAATTAAATTTTTAATTTATAATTGAATTTTGAATTAAAATAAAATTTTTGAATTACAAATTAAATTTTAAATTAAAATTAAAGGAAACCGTAGGAAATAAATTAGTTTTGGGCCCCAGTCGACTTATTTCTTATAAATTTTGAATTTTAATTTTTCATTCAGCCAAAGGAAAACATAAATTCAAAAACTTATAGGAAAATTGACTGGGACCCAAAACTAATATATTTCGTGGGAGATGCTTTCAAATTGAAATTAAATTTTGAATTAATATTAAATTTTGAATTAAAATAATTGAGTTGATTATTACAAAAGGAATTTTTTCTAAAAAAAAAAATAGAGCTTACTTTAATAAACATTTCTTGATCCATGACGTGTTCCAAAACCTCGGAAGAAACAACAGCGTCATATTTTTTTGTATTTGTTTGAACAAGTTCGTCAACTGAAGTTTGAATATAATTTAAATTCTTTGATAGAGAAGAATCTAGTGAAGCGTGTTCTTTTGCAACCATAATCAATTCCAGTGAGGGATCAATCCCTGTCATAGTAGCACCTGTACGAGCTAAAGCTTCTGTTAGAATTCCACCACCACAACCCACATCTATGATCGAAATTCCCTTCAGAGGTTGAGAAGGATCAGATATTTTGTGTCCATTCTTCACTATTGCGTCAGTAACAAGTGGTACTCGGATTCTATTTAGCGAATGAAGTCCTCTTACTTTTCCCGAGGTATTCCACCAAATATCGCTAACTTCCTTGTATCTGGAAACTTCGTTAATGTCGATTGTTGGGGTTTTTAAATTCACAGCTGTCTTCATTGTCTTATCTGTTCTCGTTAATCTAGATTAAATTAATATTCATTTATTTATAAATACTCTTGTTTATTAATAAATTAATTTATTAATTCATTTTTAAGGATTTCTTATTTTTAATTAATTTATTACTTAATTTTAATTGATTTCTTATTTTTAATTTATTTATTAATGAAGGTTTGCATTAACTTTTTAAAAACTGTATCACTAACCCTTTACGAATTGTAGTTGTAATGCAATTCCTTGTTAAATTTAAAAAAGAGTTCTTCAATGTTATTAACTCGGTATTCTTTAACTTCTGACTTTAATTGTTTAAAAATGTAAGCGGTGAGGAAAATTATTTGACATTTGTTTTTTTCGAGCAAAGTCTAAATGATTGCGTTATAATCTCACATTATAAGAAGACTGAAAAATATTGCTGATCAAATTCTTTTATATCTTGTAATTAATCATACGAATTATATATTGTGTAAGCAAAAATTAACAATACTTAATTTTCATTCTTAATGCATAATTATTAATTCAAATATTCCTCTGAGTAATTTTTTATTTATCTGCTGCTCGCAATTAATCACAATGTTTATAATCAACGATTAAACAATATTTTTATTTTTCAAAATAAGGAAAAGAAATGTTATAAACTTAACTAAAGAAATTTTTTTAATATAATAAAAAAACTTGTGTAAGAAAAGAATTTAAAAATTAAAATTCTTAGAAAATAATTAAATTCTTCTCAGAATTTTATTACAATTTTATAAAATTATTTAATTCATTCAAGAGATTTTATTAAAATATAGAAAATACATAGGTAATTAAATTCTTTCGAAGAATAGATACCAAAAGGTTTTTACAATAATTGAATCCTTTCAAAAAATTTTAATTTATTTAATACATTCGATCTTGTTCGTAAGTGTAATTAGTAATATTACTATTAAAATTTTATTAAACTTATTGACAGAAAATTAAACACTGTTAAACAATATTATTAGAGTTTTTGTAAATAATTAAATTCTTTTGAAGAATTTCTGTAAGTTTTTTTTTAAGTAATCTAGTGTTTCAATAATTGTAATTGAAAATTTTGAAAATAATTGAATTAAACAAAGAATTTATTTTAACTTTTTAAAATAATCGTGTCTGTTAATAATTATAATTGAATATTTGATTATTGAAGTTTATTAAAATTAAATTAAAAATAATTAAATTCCTGAGAATATTATAAAAAATAATTTTATTCTTGAGATGAATTTTACTACTCATAAAAATGATTGAATTATTTCAAAGGATTTATTAATTTATTTTAGAAAATAATTGAATTTTTTCGAAAAATATTATTAAAATTTAAAAAAATATTCAATTTTTTCATAAAATATTATAATTGTATTAAAAATAATTGCAGTTTTGCAAAGAATTTTACTATTTATAAAAATAGTTGAATTGTTTCAAAAAATTTATTAAAATTTTAGAAAATAATTGCATTGCTTTGGAAAATTTTATAACAAATTAAGAAAAAAATTGAATTCTTTCGTGAAATTTTATAATATTGTTGAAAATAATTGAATTTTTGCAAAAATGTTAATAATTTATAAAAATAATACAATTTGTATTATTTTTTATGAAAATAAGTGAATTGTTCAAAACTTTATATTTGAAAATAAAAAATTATCCCCAAGTTTTGAATTTTCAAATGAACGAAACTTTTTTTTATTAAAAATATTTTTATAAATTATTAATCACAAAAAAATTTTGTAAACTGAAATTTTACGTTTAGAAACTCAGTAATTAATTTTTTTGATAGTGACGCAAAATAATTTTAATACTAAAAATTTAATTTGCTGAAGAAATAAATAAATTTCGATCATTTGAACGTTCAGAACTTTAGGATCTTAATAAAAAATTTGCATAATAATAATGAATTGAATAGCAAGTTCCGCGCGTATCATTTGCTAGTATATTAATAATTGTTGTATTCCAGTAAACTGTTCGCAGTTTGACGTAATTTTTTGTTTGATTTCTTGTTTCCTAACTTTTTAAATAATTTTTCATTCCAAAATATGTTTTGGATTTAAAAATTAATGTATGTACAGAACCATTGAATTCTTCAGAAAAATTTAATCAAAAAATTTTAAACTAAATAATAGAAATTAATTAGAAGAGAAAACAGTTTAAAGAAAAATAGAAAAAAAATTATAGAAAAAAAATAAGAAAAAATTATTCTGCTTGTAAATTCTCATTTTACCTACTAATCCACTTTTTTAATCGCTTGAATCGCGTAAAAAATGGAAGTCCAGGACGACCAGTTCCATTCATTCTTCATTGGATTATATACCATTCCTTGAATTAATTTAGTTTCACAATTATCTAAAAAAAAAAGAAATTATTAATAGCAGACAAAGTAAAACTACTTCTATTTTCTCACAAACTTACACTTTTTCAATAATCCTTGTGTATCTCTTGGTGAAATAAATTTATTCCATTCGTGAGCTCCGGTTGGTACAAATTTGAAAATATATTCCCCTACAATTATTCCCCAAAACCAAGAAATAAAAGTCTTATTTATTGTCGTCAAAAAAATTACTCCACCAGGTCTCAATAAATCTGTACAGCACTGAAATTAATTTACTTTTAAAAGAGAGAAACCATCTTCAAAATATTACGTATTTTTTCAAAAATTGTAATTTAATGAATTTGTAATTAAAATTAATTTACGTTAAAAAAAAGAAATTAATTACAAAATATTAAGTACGTAGTGTTTTAAAAAATTTTGGATTAAAATTTTAACTAAATTTTGAATTAAAATAAGTGTATTCAATATTGCAGAGAGAATTTTATGAAAATAAATAAGACTTACTTTGATAAATATTTCTTGATCCATGACGTGTTCCAAAACTTCGGAAGAAACAACAGCGTCATACATTTTTGAATTTGTTTGAACAAATTCCTCAACTGAAGTTTGAATATAATTTAAATTCTTTGATAGAGAAGGATCAAGTGAAGCATGTTCTTTTGCACATATTATCAATTCCATTGATGGATCAATCCCTGTCACATTAGCACCTGTCCTAGCTAAAGATTCTGTTAGAATTCCACCACCACAACCCACATCTATAATCGAAATTCCCTTCAGAGGTTGAGAAGGATCAAATATTTTGTGTCCATTATTCACTATTCCGTCACTAACAAATGGTACTCGAAGTTTATTCATCGAATAAAGTCCTTTTAATTCTCCCAAGGTATTCCACCAAATATCGCTAACTTGCGAGAATCTGGAAACATCTTTAATGTCAATTGTTGGGGTTTTTATATTCGCAGCTGTTTTTATTGTCTTCTCTGCTCTCGTTGATCCAGATTAAATTAATATTCGTTAGTTATAAATACATTTCTTTAATAATTAATTTTAATGAATTTTCCTTCCACATAGAGAAAGTATTTTATTTTTAATTTATTTATTTATAAAGGCTTTTATTAACTTTTAAAAATTGTTATCACTAACCCTTTACGAGTTGTAGTTGTAATGCAATTCCTTGTTAAATTAAAAAAAATGTCTTTTAAACTTAACTAACGTAATGTTTTTAATAATAAAAAAATGTATTTAAGAAAAAAATTTGAAAATTTAAATAATAAATTAAATCCAATTTTTTTCGAAACGTAATATCTATCAAAAAATTTAAACTAAGTATTATAGATTTACAACTATAATAATATATCGTAGCTTCGACGACAACTTTTAAGGACATATTTTTAAATATTTTTTTTTAATCATTATAACACTAACCCTTTGCGAATTATAGTTGTAATACACTTTCTTGTTGAATTTAAAAAAGAGATCTTCATTTTTCTTGCTCAAACTAGTAATTTACTTTAAATTCTAACGACAAAATAATAACGTCAATGTATTTAATATTCACCAATTATTTTTTGCAAAATATACACGTTTGTATTATCTCGAATTGTAAACTGACTTTAAAAAAAATTACTAACCAGATTTTAAGATATCTTATAATGAATTTTGCATTGTGAACAAAAATTAATATTTATTCAAATATTTCATGAGAATAATTGTTTTATTAATCTTGTGTTTATGACAAATCCGATAGTTTATAATTTTCTCCGTTTCAATTTCCTTTTGAATTAATATGAAAAAGAATTTAATAAAAACAGTAAATAATTTAAAATTGAATTAAAATTTTCCTAAAATACATATTATTCGCAAAATAGTAAAAATCTATTAAAAACAAAATTTGAAATATAAATGCTGTTAATTATTGTTAAAGAAAACTTTATTATCAATTATGAAAACTAGAAAATTTGCTCTTAAGCATAATTGTGTGTTTCTTAAAGAATCTCTTATAGTAAACTTGTAAATGTTTACAAAATTATTTACAACACTTTATATTGTAACGAGAAACTATTCCACTTTCTTAATGGCATGAATCGCATAATTTATCGGAGTCAATGACGACCAGTACCATTCATTTTTTAATGGATTATACACCATTCCGTGAACCAATTTAGTTCGACAGTTGTCTGAAAATTTTAATCATAGACAATAATTTGAGTCAAAAATTTAATAAACGAGCCAATTTTTAAAAATTAGATATTTAATTTATATTTTTGAAATTTGATTAATTTTGATTTGGATATAAATAATTAGATAGAAACTTACACTTTTCAAGTAATCGTCGTGTCTCCCTTGGTGAAATAAATTTATTCCAATCGTGAGTTCCGATTGGTACCAGTTTCAAAATATATTCCGCTGCAATTATTCCTCCCAGCCAAGACGGAAAAGTCTTATTCATCGTTGTTAGAAAAATTGAACCACCAGGTCTTAACAAATCTGTGCAGTACTGAAAAAAGTACAAAATATTTTCAGGACATACTTTTAGTGGAATTCAAATATAAATTAAATTCCTGTATTATTATAATATACAGGGTTGCCACAGGTCTGGAAAATAAGAGAAAAGTCAGGGATTTTTATTAAAAGTACTGGAAAAAATTAAATTTTTAGAATTCAAAAGAAAATTCTGAATTTTGGTGTCTGTTTTGTTCACTTCATAAACTATGAAATTACCGCAAATTCTAACACAAAACCTTCAATTTTTTCTATTGCTGACAATAACTTCTTTTTAAATAACTTAATTCTTCAATAACTTCATTAAAGTATTACTTAGAAATTATTTAATGAATTATTTTACCTAAATATTTCAAAATTAATTGAATTCTAAGAGTCGCGTTTACAATTTTCATAAATAAATGAACTTTAAAAGGTTTTAATTTGAAACTTTATACAATTAGACTTTTTAATAAATTTAATTAGAAAATTTAAAGATCTTAGATTTTTTAACAAATTTAATAATTTCTTTCAAAATTTAATAATTTAATTATTTCTTCTGAAATAAGTTAAATTCTTTAATATTGTAAATTTAATTAGTTATTAAAAATAATGGATTTATAGAAGAATTTTAGTTAAAAAGGCTAAAAAAATTTAATTTTGGAGAATAAAAAATTCTTCGCAGAAATTCAATTATGTTCAAACATTTAGAAGAATTTTGTCAAAATTTCAATTATCTTTATAAATAATAAAATTCTTCTCCGAAATTCAATCTTTTTTCCAAAAGAATTCAATTATAAAAAAAAATTTAATAAACTTCTACGCAAACATTCAATTATTTTCATAAATACAATAAATTTCATTAGATTTCAATTATTTACAAATTTTTTATAAATTTCTTCGCAAGAATTCAATTATTTTCACAAAGAATAACATTTTTTACAGGATTTCAATCATTTTAATAAATCAATAATAAAATTCTTTTTATGAATTCAATTATTTTGTTAAATAATAGAATTCTCCTCAAAAATTCAATAAATTTCTAAAATTCTAATAAAATTCTTCGCAGGAATTTAATTATTTTTATAAATCCTAATAAATTTCTTCTCAAGAATTCAATTATTTTCAATACAATTTCAATAGAATATCAGAAAAGGATTCAATTATTTATAAAAATTGTCATAATAATGAAATAATTCAATCATTTTATAAAATTTTAATAAAATTCTTGGAAACAGTTGAATTATTCACAAACATTTAAAGAAATTCTTCGCAAAGATTCAATTATTAAAAACAATAAAATTCTTCTCATGAATTCACTAAATTTCTAAAATTTTAATAAAATTTTTCCCAAGAATTCAATTAATTTCAATAATACTTTACGAAAGGATTCAATTATTTATGAAAATTATGAAAATTATGGAAGAATGCAATTACTTTCTAAAATTTTAATAAAATTCTTGGAAACAGTTCAATTATTCTTAAAAGTTTAAAGAAATTCTTCGCAAAGATTTAATTATTTTTAGAAACAATAATATTTCACGAACGGATTCAATTATTTATGAAAATTATTAAAATTATGAAAGAATTCAATTATTTTCAAACATTTTAATAAAATTCTTGACATCATTTAAATTATTTTCAAAAATTTTCCTTAATTCAATTATTTTCAATGTTAATAAAATTTTCCAAAAGAATTCAATTATTTACATATTACATATTTTAATCTAATTCCTCGAAAATGTAAACATTCTTAAAATTTTTATTAAAATTCGTCAAAAGAATTCGATTATTTAAAAAATTGTTGAAAACATTCTTTAGGAGAATTCAATTTTAAGAAATATTCAATTATTTATTTATTTATTTATTCAAAATGGTAACGGGTAAAAATTTATTATTCAATAAATTGTTTATTTTTGTTTTTAAATAATTAAATTCTCGTAGAATTTTCTAATAAAAAATGATTTAAAGATTAATATCAGTTAAAATTTTAGATAATAATTAGATATAAAAGCATTATAGCCTGAATTTTTAGGAATAATTGAATTTTGTAAAGGTTTGAATTTAAAATCTTTGAAAATTTGAATTTTTCATACTTTTCACTAACCATTCTGTAGAATTAATTTTTTTGAAAAAGTTTAATTGAATTCTTTTTTAAAATTATTTAAAGTTTTTATTTTCTAATAAATTTAATTGAAGGATTTTCGAATAATCGAAAATTTTTTTAAATTTATTGAATTTTAAACAAATGGATTTGAAAATTCTCAAAGAACTTTTTCAAGTAGAATTTTAGTTGAAAATTCTAGAAAATAATAATTGAATTGAAGTGATGAAAGTAATTTTGAAGAAGTTACTGTAAAAATATTCTTATAATATAAAATAATGATTTTATTACTTGGTCATCATTAATTATTATAAAACATGAAGATAGTGATCACTCCGAGTCGAAGACTCGGAGTTATCGATATCTTCATGTTTCATAATAATATTCTTAAAAGTTGTTGAATTTTAAAAAGGTTTGAATTTGAAATTTTGGATAATCATAATTCCTATGGAAAAATATAATAATTTTTAAATATTTATTTAAAAAGTAAGTTATTGATGTTTTCGAATAATTTTACATTTAAAGAAATTTAGGCAAATAAATGTATTAGATTTTTTTTTAGTATCTAATAATTTTGAGAGTGAATCAGAATATTCTTTAGGGTCAGGGAAAAAGTGAAAATCTTGTCTGTAAATCAGGGAAAAACAAAATAAAATTTGTGTGGCAACTCCGATATAGTTAAATAAAATATTAAGACCCACTTTTAAAAATGTTTCTTGATCGGCAACGTGTTCCAAAACTTCGGAAGCCACGACAGCGTCATACTTTTTGCTATTCGATTGAGCCAATTCCTCGACAGATGTTTGAATATAATTTAAACGCTTTGATAATGAAGAATCCAATGCAGCGTGTTTTTTTGCACATTTAATTAATTCAACGGATGGATCTATTCCAGTCATATTAGCTCCGATACGAGCCAAGGGTTCCGACAAAATTCCACCACCACAACCAACTTCTATAATTGAAATTCCCTCCAGGGGCTGACAGGGATCTTGTGCCTCGTGTCCAATATTCGCTAATCCATCGCGAATAAATTGTATCCTTAGTGGATTTAATGCATGAAGTGGTTTCATTTCACCTGAGATGTTCCACCACGTCTCGCTTATTTGCGAAAATCTCGAAACATCTTCAATGTCAATTGTTGGCGATTTTGCTTTTACAACTGCCTCCATTGCTCTCGTTGGTTCCGTTGATCTGCAATTGATCAATATTCATTAATTTATATTAATACAAGTATTAAAAGTTTTTTATAAACTCTTCTTGTCTCTTTTTGCTCCATTATAGCGATCATAATCACAAGCTTCGCACTCAATAATTTGTTTTAAAAAAGTAGCTTGAAAAAAAGTATCAAAAAGTAGCATTAAGGCTGAAAAAAGTAGTAAAAAAGTAGCTACTATCGAAAAATTAAATTTGGCGACAACAAAAACTTATTTTAGACGATTCACAAAATTCATGAAAATTTCATTCTGTATTTCTCTGACATTTTCCTGATTTCTATCAAAAATGTTTTGTTTCTTAAAATTGAATAGGTACTAAAAAAAAATTTTTTTAAAATTTTTGAAAATAATTCATTTCTTTCGAATAATATTAATAAAACTTAAGAAAACAAATAACATTTTTCGAGAAATTCATTTTCAAACTGTTTTCAAAATAATTCAAATTCTATAAAGAATTTTATTATTTATAAAAATAATTGAATTCTAGCAACGAATTTTATTATTTATAAAAATAATTGAATTCCCGCAACGAATTTTATTATTCATAAGAATAATTTAATTCCTACAACGAATTTTATTATTTTTTTTTAATAATTGAATTCCTGGGGGAAATTTTATAATTTGTAAAAATAATTGAATTCTTTTTTTCATTTTATAAAAATTTAAAAGAATAATTCAAATATTTCGAATAACTTATTTAAAATTAGATTAAAAATAATTGAATTTCTTTGCGATGAATTTTATTATTTATGTAAATTATAATTTAACTATTATAAACAAATTTTGTCAAAATTTTAGAAAATAATTAATTTTTACTAAGAATTTTATTAAAATATTTAAATAATTGATTTTTTTCGAAAAAATTTCTTGAAAATTGTATTTCACACAATTGAATTACATTGAAATTTTTATTATATTCATATTATTAGAATTCTCGCTTTGAAGTTTATTAAATTTTTGAAAATAAGTAAATTAGTTTGAAAAATTTTGTGGAAATTTTCCAAAACAATTAAAAGATTTGAAAGAATTTAATTCGCTTGAGAAAAAGTAGCTTTTAGTGTCCCAAATCTAGAAAAAGTATCCAAATAGTAGCTAATTATAAAAAAGCAGTAATTAGTTGATTTAGAAGAGTACGAAGCCTGCGTAATCATAGCGGTAATGTTTTATAATTTATAGGTTATGTCAGGTAAATACTCACCGATTTCGAATTATCGTCTTAAAGCAGTTTCTTGTTGAAATTAAATTAACGGCCTTCATTTTTATTTCTTTAATTCAGCGATATTTACCTGAGGAGATTATTTATATCATGTGCTTAATTGCAATGAAGCATTGAAATCGTCACTTGTAAAATTCACGTCAATTACTGTCAATTACAAAAAAAAACAAATGAAACCAAAACAATTGAATTACATATTGCGAAGCGAATAGAAGGCTTTTTTTGATAGCCACAAGGGTCAGTAGTAATCAATCATTAGGTATTTCATTATTTTTATCTTGTTTTTAATTAGACTGTCAAAATAAACTTTTGTTTTGTTTTGTTTTATAGCAGACGACAATTTTCGCGCATGACCGTTTATCGCTATATTAACGCGGGCAAATTTAAAAATTCTAATTGTTCACTCAAATATTTTTTATTTTTTATTATTAATTTGTTTTAAATTCATTAAAATATAATTTTTTAAATAATTGTTATATTTGTAAATTTAAGTGAAAGATGTTTATTGTTTTTTAAAAATTCAATTCACATTTATTCAACAACCAAAAAAGTGAAACTTTTAGTCCATCGACGATGGACCTCTTCAGACAATTTATGGAAACTGCAAATTATTTTTTAACATAATTTAACGGTTTATAAAAATAACCTCAACCTATGGATATCTTTCCTCACATATTAAGTTCAAATCAATTTTCATAAATTAATAATTAACAATAATTGTATTAATAATTTGTAAATTTTAATTGACAAATTACTTATTTTGCAGGTGCTGAGGAAGTTCCTAGTAAAAGATGTAGACGCAGAAAAAAAGACCAAAATCCAAATGAATCCATAGATGTAACATCATTTTTAAGTGTACTGACAATAAAATGAGTAAGTTTCTTTTTATTAAATTTTTTTAAATATTTATTTTCTCAATTGAAAAGAATTTTTTTCTTGAAATTTATATTTATAATTATTGAATTCAATTATTTTTAAATACAATTTAAATAAAATTCGTCAAAAGAATTGCATTATTTTAAATTTATTTTTTTTATGAAATTCGTGGCAAGAATTCAATTACATATATTAAATTTTAATTGTAACTACATTCCTCGAAAGAATTTTAATTTTCTTTGAAACAATTAAATTATTTTAACAAATGTTATTAAAATTTATCGAAACAATTCTATTTTTTAAAAATAAAATTTAACTGAAATTCATCGAAAGAATTCAATTATTTAATATTTTTAAGAATTTTGATACAATTCTTAAGAAGAATTTAATTATTTTTTTAATAATTTAATTTAATTTAATTTATTAATAATTTAATAATTTATTTTTGAATACAATTTTAATCAAATTTCCTGATGGAATTCAATTATTTTTATAAAATTCAATAAAAATCCTTGAATTTAATTTTTTTCAACAATTTCTAAAAATTCTCTACAAGAATTAATTTATTTCCAATGCCATTTTAATCAAATTTGTAAAACAAATTAAATTATTTAAAAAATTTGTGATAAATTTTTTTATACTATCTCAATTATTTTGAATACAATTTTATTAAAATTTCTCAAAAGAGTTGAATTATTTTTAAGAATTTTGATAAAATTCTCTAGAGAAGAATTTAATTATTTTTACTACAATTTTAATTTAACTCCTGAAAAGAATTTTAAAAAAATTGCAAGAAAGATTTTAATTATTTTCAAAAATTTTCATAAATTGTTGACAAGAATTCAATTACTTTTAATACAATTTCAATGAAATTTCTTAATAGAATTCAATTATTTTTATAAATTTCAATAAAATTCCTCGAAAAAATTCAATTATTTTTATAAATAAAATTCTTCGAAAGAATTTAATTATTTTCAAATTTTTTTTTAATTCTCTATATAGAAGAATTTAATTATTTTTAATAAAATTTAAATTAAATTCCTCGAAAAAATTCAATTTGTATTTTAAAAAATTTTGATTAACTTTTTTATAAGAATTCAATTATTTTCAATGAACTTTTAATAAAATTTTTCAAAAGAGTTGAATTATTTTGAAGAATTTTATACAATTCTTTATAAGAATTCAATTATTATTTTTACTACAATTTTAACTTGACTCTTCAAGAGAACTTTAATAAAATTACTAGAAAGATTATAATTATTTTTAAAACTTTAATACAATTATTTTTACTACAATTTTAACTTAACTCATCAAAAAAATTTTAATAAAATTACTAAAAAGATTTTAATTATTTTTAAAAATTGTAATAAAATTCCTGACAAGAATTCAATTACTTTTAATACAATTATTTCAATAAAATTTCTTAATGAAATGCAATTATTTTCACAAATTTTAATAAAATTCCTTGAAAAAATTCAATTATTTTTATAAAATATAATTCATTCTATAGAAGAATTTAATTATTTTCAATATAATTTTAATTAAATTCCTCGAAAAAATTCAATTCGATTCAATTATTTTAAAAAATTTCAATAAAATTATTTAATCGAACATTTTGAATTTTTTTCAGTACAATTTAAGCAAAATTGTTTTAAATTAAAAATTTAATTCAATGAAGAAATTTAATTAAATTTTTAATTCAAAACAATGTTGTTTAATTCATTTTTGTTATTTTCTAATTTTCCAAATATTAAATTATATAATTTTCTAAAGAGAAAAGAAGTAAATATATTTTAATTTACGATTTTATTTTTGAAAGGTATCAATTTTGTAATTTTTATTTTTCTTTTTTTTTAAATTTATTTATTTATTATTTATATTATTTCAGAAAGAGGCCCGAATTTATCGAAGGAAAAAGAGAAAAAAATTTGCATTGAATCTGTAGACAATGAAAAAAAGGAACCCGGCGAAACAAATGAAGTGGATGCATTTTGCAAGAGATTATCTTCGAAAACACGATCCAAAGTTGAGATTGATATATATTCAATATGAGGCCGTATTTGGAGATAAAGTTTAATAAGACGGTAATTATTTTTGTTTAAATAGCATTTGTTACGTAATTTTCGCAAATTATTGCCAGAAGGAAAAGTTAAATCCTTTTCACTTTTAAGTAGTAAATAAGTACATATAGTAATAATTTTAATGATACTACACTGAAAAATAATTTATTTAATTCGATTAATTGACTATTATCAATTAAATATTTACTTGAATCAAATAATACTTATTGGAGTCAATTAAATGGTATTTTTGAACCAATAATTTCAGTATTTAAAGCAAATATGAACTAAACCATTTAATTGACTCCAATAAATATTAATTGATTCAATTAAATATTTAATTGATAATAGTCAAGTAATCAGTTATTTGAATCAAATAAATTTTTTTTCAGTGTAATAATAATTTCATTTAATGTCATATTCGTCATTTTTAATTGCTAGTATTTTAAAAAATATAGTCAACTCAAAAATAGTCATTCAACATTTTTACTGGTTTTTCAATTTTTATGTTGTTTTTGCTAACAGTTTTTTTTATCACGATAACTATCAATGATCTTTTGTTTTGAGATAAAACTCCTTTTATGCTGAAAATTGATGACAAAATTGAACTTTATATTTACTTGAACCAAAAGCTATTAAGGAATGTTATCTTGTCGATTTTCTTACAGAATATGATGACAGTTTTCTGAGTTCATCGGATGAATCAGTACAGTTTTAACTTTTAAATGACAATAATTTTTAGAAACAAATCTTTCATTTCTAAATCTTTTATTTATTTTTGTGTCATTTTAGCGAACTTATTTTTTCTATTATTATTTTTTTTTTTTTTTTTGCTTAGGGAATTTTTTTTAATAAAATTTTTATTAAAAAATTATTATTATTATTATTATTATTATTATTATATTATTATTATTCTATTATTATATTATTTATGATAAGAATAACTAGACAGAGCAATTAAACAAATAAAGGAACACAGTACATGATGGTAATTTTTGTTTCGAATTAGTTACACTTACGGTACATGTTTCCTTTATATGTGTAAATTTCGAAAATTTATTCCACTCTTTGTCTGTAAAAAAAAATGCAGCATAAGGAATTGTTCCCTCTTGAGTGATTCTTTTATACTATTTTTTTGTATAAAAATGAAAAGAATTAAGTTCCGAGAAGAATATTGACTCCTAAAATTCAGTTACATATTTTTTAAAAACTAAAAATATTTTCTTTCTCTTAGTATATTAAATGTAAAACCAAAGTATTTTTTAAAAAGTTTAGAAAAATCTAATTCTTAATTAAAATTAAGAAAAAATTAATACCAAAAGAAAATATTTTTTCCTAATTTGTAAAAATTGAAATATTTTTATTTTACTATTTCTCTGATGAAAAAAAAATAGTTTCTTCACCTTCAATATAAAAATAGAATTCATTATTTGAAAATAATGGAATGTTTCAAATTTGAAACATTCAGAATATTTTTTCTATGAAAACAAAACTTTTTTTTTAGAAATTATGAACACGTTTCGCTTACGGTATTTAAATTTTTTTGTTTTCAGTATGAGCAAATTTCATCAAGAAACATCTAAAAATACTTTATGTAACTTTAAATAATTGGGTTTTTTTTTAAATTTTGAATAAAGCTGAAAATTCTATTTTTTCCATAAAAGAACATTATTTCGACATTTTTCGAATATAAACAAAAATACCTAAATTGAAATTAGAATTGACGTGTAAAATCAATTTTTCCTAATTTTGTTTGAATTGTACGCAAATACAATTTACGATATAAAGTCGAAATTTAAATATAGTTTATAAGGGGGAAATTGTTTGAAGTTCTGTTTATTGATTTTGAATCATTTAGGGGGAATTTCCAGAAATTCACTAAAGCACATACAAATGTACAAGTGTCTTTTTTATATATATATATAAAATAAAATTTCATATGTTGACATTAAAGACCGGATATGGGACTAAGGTGGAGGGAACAAATAATAGATTAAAAAAAACCTTTATTTATCTATATGAATGTATAGGTGAATCATCAGCGCACGGTGTGTACTCTAGGGTGTGAGCGCGACATCGAACTCATTATCAGAAGTGAACAAGTCCGTGGAGGATCTTTAGAAATGAAAAAAAGTCTCATCATCAACAGAAGTTTATAATTCATTTCACCTCGCATGAAATTTTGGATTTAGTGTGACATTTTTTGAGAAATCGGAAAAAGAAGAAAGGATTTTCATATTCTCATTAAAATGTGGAATTTTATTTTGGTAACTCTTGTTTGGGGATCTTTGGTGTCAGCGCGAACTGAATGTAAGTTTTATCACTGATTTTTCTTATCTCTTTTGAATCCATTTTATATAAGTAGTTGTGATAATTTGATAATTATATTTATTGCAAAAAGGAGTTTAATTTTGGCAATTTAAGGATAAGCTTCCTACTTATTTTCACATTTTACTGCAAAATTAGAAAAGAAATAAAGAATTTTTAATTTTAAAATAACATTTTTTAAGAGAATTATAAGAGATAACATTTTTTTTATTATTGAACATAAATTAAATTTTCAGATTTACCGCAGAAAATAGAAAAAAGAGCAAACTGTTTTTTTCACGAGAGAACTAAATTATTTATAAAAATTATTAAAATAACGAAACAATTCAATTAATAATTTCTAAAATTTTGATAAAATTCTTGGAAATAGTTAAATTATATATTCTCAAAAATTTAAAGAAATTCTTCGCAAAAATTGAATTATTTTTAAAAATAATAAAATTCTTTTCAAGAATTCAATTATTTTTATAAATAATATAAGAAATTTCTTTTCAAAGAATTAATTTATTTTCAATAATATTTCACGAAAGGATTCAATTACTTATGAAAATTATTAAAATAATGAAAGAATTCAATTATTTTCAAAAATTTTCCTCAATTCAATTATTTTCAATATTAATAAAATTTACCAAAAGAATTTAATTATTAGATAATAATTATTATCTATAATTTTCATACTTATTTTCACATTTTACTGCAAAAAAAAGAAGTATTTTCAAATACCTATTTTGAAAGAACATTTTTTAAAAGAACATTAAGAGATAACATTTTTTATATTATTGATGACATTGAAAATAAATTAAATTTTCAGATTTACCGCAGAAAATATCAAAAATACTGATTTTTATGATAAAAGTTCGTTTTTTAATTTTTATTTCAAGAGAAATTCAAGAGAAATATTTCTATATTAAGAGATAACATTTTTTTTTATTATTGATGGCACTGAAAATTAATTAAATTTTCAGATTTAATGTAGAAAATAGCAAAAACTGATTTTTATGACAAAAGATCGTTTTTTAATTTTTATTTCTAGAGGCCATTTTTTAACGCTACTGTTATCTTTTTATGTAACTTATTTACTTTGACATAATTTTTCGTTCAGTGAGAAAATGCTATTATTGGATTTTGATTATTTTCGTTTTTATTCAATAAATAAATTATAATTGAAATCGCGGGAAAATGATAAAATAACTATACATAAAATCTAATTACTTTTTCATTTTTCAAATTAAAAAACAAATAGGTGCTTAAAATTCCCTTAAAGACAATTATAATTGTAATTATGTAATTAAATATAATTATTAATTTAATTATCAAACAATAAAATTAATTATCAAATAATAGAATTAGTTATCAAATTAACAATCAAATAATCGAATTGATTATTAATTATTTAATTAAATAATCGAATATAACTTTTTGGTCTCGTATTGTCATTTAATTTTATTTTGAAAAATAATTTTTTTCCATTGTTTGACTAATTATTTTATTATTGAATTTTTGTTTGAAAGCTTTTGTCAATTTTCTTTTATTTGCTTTCTTATAAATTATTCTATAAGAAGAAAATATTCGACAGTGCTGGTAAATTAATTATGATGAGGTGACAGAAAATAATATATTGATTGAATAATTTTTTTTACGCGTTTTATTTTGTATTTTTATATAATTTTATATGCTGCCGTCATTCGAGATTCAATGTAATCGGTCTCAAAGCGATAAGGTTTGATTATCTTGAAACCAAGGCGACGCCCTACTCACCTGTGGTATTTTTCAAGATCATCAAATACAGAAGAATTATTAATAGAATTTTTATGGAAAAAAAATTTATTTCTCACCTTAAATATTTTATTTTACTATTTTTCGTTATCATTTTCTTCAAATCTCTTTTTTTCGTACTATAAAAAAATGAAACTTAAAATTCAGTTATTTTAATTAATTAATTAATAATTAATTAAATTGATTAATTAATTAATAATTTATCAGGGTGATTACATGTCAGTAAAGTCAGGAAAATGTCAGGAAAAAGAATGTTTTGTCAGGGAAATTTAGAAAATTGAGATTTTTTCGACTTATTTTCAAAAATTGCGACTTTTTCGACTTTTCTTCCAAATATTGCAACAAAAAATCATATTTTTTAGTATTAAAAATGTAAATCATTTCAATTTTAATAGTGCGAAAAATAACTGTAAACAAATCTTTCAAAAATTATTTTTGAATGATTTTTCTATTTAAATTTTCGAAATATACAATTAAAAAGATTTTGAATAATTGAAATTTTCAAAAATTTAATTTGAAAATAATTGATTTTTTTCAAGTATTTTACTACAATTTTTGAAAATTAACTTTTCAAGAATTTTTATTGCAAATTTTCAAAATATTTGAATTATCAAAAATTTTAATGAAAAATCTTTAAACGTAAATTTAAAAATGAAAATTAAATTTTTTTACAGATCGGATTTGTCAACCACCGTCTATTAGTCCAGTGTTGTGCGAAAATTTGAAACGAGGAGACAGTGAAGTAAAATGTGTAAGTGTCTCGGATGGCGTTGATTGTACAATGAAATTAATGAACAACGAAGTCGATTTTGGCGTTTTTACTGGCGATGAATTATTCCTGGCTCATGAATTTTATCCAAAAGGAATTAGTATTCTCTATGAACTACGACATCATCAAAAAAAAGATGGTATAAATAATCTAGTTTATTTTCTTCTACATTATTTTAATTTTTTTAATTATTATTATAGAAAATGAACTTAAAAAAAATTGTTTTCAGATCCGTTTCAAACTCAAATGGTTGCTTTGGTGGGAATATATAATGCGGAAAGTAATTTCCAATCAATGATGGGTAGTGGTTTATGTCACCCTGGATTTTCTGAGTCACAAGCGTTAAATGAAAAAGTTTTAAAACATTTTGAGAGACAGATTTATAAAAAAGATTGTAATCAGGATTTACCCGATTATGAAAATGAGCTTATTAATTTTAAAAACTTTTTTGGAGACAGTTGTCGGCCAGGACTTTGGGTCTCTAACAAAACTCTTGATAATGAATTAAGTAAGTTAATTAATTAACATGATTAAATTTAGACTGATTAATTAATTTAGTAATTACTAAAATTATTAAAGAAAAATTTTAATTTTGCAAGTAAATTTCTTGACTAATTTACAAGTAAATTAATTAAATATGTAATTTATGAGAAAATTAATTATGAGTACACTAATGAACTAATTTAAAGGGAAATTAATTAAAATTATTTATTAAGTTTAGTTGAAAAATGTTCTAAAAGTGATTAATTTCTAACAGTACTTTTAATTTTATAGAAAGACGTTATCCACAATTATGCGCCAAATGTGATGATGTACCAAACTGTACATATAATGATATGTACGAATATGGACATTTTGGTGCGTTGAATTGTTTGAAAGATCGAAAAGCACAGATCGCTTATGTAGCACTCAACCACGTTCGAGAATTTTCCGTAAGTGTTCTTTTAAATAATCTTTTAATCTTTTAAAATAATAACATTTTTCGAAAAGTTCTTCAAAAATATGATTATATTTCAAAACAATTTTTAAAAGTAATAAAATTAAATTCTTTCAAATATACATTTTTATTTCAATGAAATTTGCCAAAACTTATTTAATTATTTCTTAAAATTACAACAGCAATTTTTCCAAAAGTCAATTATTTTTTAGATTTTTTTAATAAAATTATTCAAAAATTTAATACATTTTAAAGGAAAATAATATTAATTTATTCTTTTACAGCGATTAAAATGTTAAATAGATTTCAATTTAAAAACCCTTTAAAATTTAATTATTTCTTAAAATTCTTGCGTCATAACGCTTTTCATTTTCAATTATTTTTCAAAATTTTAACTGAAATTCTTTTTTAAATCAATTCTTATTAAAATTTAAAGAGAATTGCATCATTAAAATACAAATGTTTTTGTAAAAATTAAAATTTCCAAATTTATAGTTATACAATTCTTCAAAAAATTCAATAATGTTTTCAAAAATAATTTTATTAAGTGAGAAAATTGGAAAAAGTTTCAGATTGAAATTATTTAAAAATTTTAATTCCGGAAGGACAAATAAATAAACAATAAGTATCTATTCAAATATTTATTAAACAAAAATTAATAAAATTTGAGAAAATTTCATATTTTTGCAATTTTTTAAAATTAATTTCGAGAATTCAACTATTTTAAAAAAATTATATTTATGATTTTTTAAAAACCTTTTTTTTCAGAATTTCTAAATGAAATTGTTTAAATTTTATTTTTTGTTCATTAAATATTTGAATATGTATCTACTTATTATTGCTTGTTTGTCCTTCAGGAATTAAAGTTTCTAAATACTTTCAATCTAAAACCTTTTAATATTTTATTATTTCTAAAAATTAAAACTGTAATTCTTTCAATTCTTGAAATATTTTCTAAAATTTTAAATGAAATTCTTTTTTAAATCAATTATTATCAAAAAGTTCGAGAATTTAATTTTTAAAATTATTTTCGAGAATTCAACTATTTTCAAAAAAATTTAATTACAATTTTTAAACATCTCATTTTTTCAGAATTTCTAAATAAAATTGTTAATTTTTGTTCAATAAATATTTGAATACTAATTTTTTGTTTTTTGTCCACCAGGAATTAAAATTTTCGTATGAAAATTTCCGTATGAAAATCCTGTTATTGTCAAAATTCTAGTGGAATTAATTTCTCTAAAACACTAATTACTCCATTTACAAATTAATTGTCAAACTTTTGAAATGATAATAATTTGAATTTTTTAGTTTTATTCAAAAAGAAATAAATTTTATTTGCTATTTACTATTTCAGGATAGATTTGTATCGAAAGTACCAATGTTTCAAATGTTGTGCCCTAATGAAACCATGATGCCTCTAAATATACAAAATCCATGTACTTGGATCACACGATCTTGGGACGTTATCGTAACAAGGGAGTAAGTTTTAAATAAAAATTAAATTCCCAATGCATCTGAATTTTAATTTATTTTCAACGATACAAAAAAAATAAATTAATTCAAATTCCCAATAAATCTTAATTTTAACCCATTTTTATCGAGACAAAAAAATCAAAATCGTATTTTTTCCGTCATTTTTTCAAAAACTGAAAAATTTCTTAAAATTGTGTTTTGCTTTTAAATTTTAGAGATCTCAGATTCGAATTGCCAAATAAATTGGGAGAATGGTTGAAATCTTCGACAAGTGATTGGACTGAAGCATTGAGGAAAATTATATTAGGAAATGAAAAGCATTATGTTTTATATCCAAAACCAATAACAATTGATTCGTATTTTGAAAACAATGGGGGACCATTGGAACGTCCAAAGAATCCCGTATGCGGTAAAGAAATAAAATGGTGCACGACAAGTGAATTGGAGAATACAAAGTGTCAATGGGTTGCTAAAGAAAGCGAAGCTCTTGGAATAACTCCGAAAATTGTTTGCGTAAAGGAAATTTCTACCTTCGAATGCTTACGGAGTATCAATCAAAAGAGGAGCGATCTCACATCAATTGATTCAAATTACGGTTATGTCGCTAGAAAGTGAGTATAAATTGAATAATTAGGAAAAAAGTACTTTTGTCCTTTTATTTCGAGTCGTAACTAATTAATTTATAATTTTCTATCTTCGATATTAATAATCGTTATATTCCTGTAATCTGTTCGCAGTTTGAAGTTAGTTGTCGTTTGCTTTTTTGTTTCCCAACTCTTTTAATAATTTTTCTTTTCAAATATTTTCAATTTTAAAATTAACGTATCAAAAATCATTTAATTTCTACGAAGAATGTTATCAAAAAATTTGAAAATAATTAGATTCTTTATCGCAGAATTTTATTATTTATGAAAATAATCGAATTCTCGAGAAAAATTTTAAATTATTAAATTATTATGACATTCTTTTGAAAAATTTCTTTGTGTTTTTTTAAAATAATGTAGGTAGTTTTTTAAATTTTAAATAATTTCAATTGAAAATTTTGAAAATAATTGAATTAAATAAAGTTTTTTCAACTTTTTAAAATAATTTTCAAAATAATTTTTGCGATGAATTTTACTTCGAAAGGATTTCTTGACAAGAATGTTTGAAATTTTTGAAAATAATTGAAATCCTCCGAAGAATTTTATTTAATGAAAATAATTGAAATCTTTCAAAGATTTTATTTTTTATGATGATAATTGAATTCTTGTAAAGAATTTTATTAAAATTTTTGAAAATAATTGAAATCCTTCGAAAAAATTTTATTATTAAAGAAAATAATTTAAATCTTCAAAAGAATTTTACTTTTTATGAAGATAATTGAATTTTTAGGAAGAAGTTTATTAAATTTTTCGAACATAATTGAAATTCTTCGAAAAATTTTATAACGAATTAAGAATTTAATTTCTTTGTAGGAATTTAGTTAAGATTGTATTGAAAATAATTGAATATTCAGGAAGAACTTTATTAAAACTTTAGAAAATAATTGAATTGTTTTGGAAAATTTTATAACGAATTAAGAAAAAAATTGAATTCTTTCGTGAAATTTTATTGATAATAATTGAATTATTTTAAAAAACAATTGAATTGTTTCCAAGGATTTATTAAAATTTTGTTGAAAATAATTGAATTTTTGCAAAAGATTTTATTATTCATAAAAATAACCGAAATCTTCCGAAGAATATTAATAATTTGCAAAAAATTAATAACTTACGAATATTAATTATTTGCGAATTATTTGCAAAAAATGAATAATTTGCGAATTATTCGCGAAAAATGAATATTAACTGAAATATTTTTCAGATTATTCGGTCTTTCAACTGTACTTTACGCTGACAATGACAACGAAAAGAGCAATGTTGTATTGGCAATGATTAAAGATTCATCATCACCGAATTTTCAAAATCTCCACGATCTTAAAGGGAAAAAAGCCTGTTTTCCGGAGTACGGCGGAATTTCTTGGATGACATTCCTCAATATTACGCGTGCCAATAAGGTTCACGAAGATAATGAAACTTGTGATTTTAAAAAAATTGCTTCAGACATTTTCAGCAAAGCTTGCGTACCCGGAGTTCGTGATATTGATCATTCAACATTGCAAAAGAAAACAAGCGCCGACGTTGGCGCATTATGCGCTCTATGCCCGGAAAATAATTGCCAGGCAAACGATGAAAATCCATTTTTCCGCGATAATGGAGCATTTCGATGTCTCGAGCATGGAGTTGCTGATATTGCTTTTGTTAAGCCAAAAAATTTGAATGGTAATTTATCAAGATAAATTAAATTAAAATAGTAATATAATTTTTATTAAATATTTTTTTTATTCAGTTAATTTTAAATAATGATAAAAAAATTGTTGGTTAGTAATTTCCAATTATTTATTATTATTTAACTATTATTTATTTATTACTATTTATTATTTATTTATTTATTATTATTCACATATTATTTATTAACTTGCAAATTATACGCGCGAAACTCGGTATTTGATTTATTATTAGTAAATTAATGAATAAATTATTATTATTTAATACTTTTTCAAAAATATTAATATAATTCTTTGAAACAATTTTGTTTTCAGAAATTTTAATAAAATTCTTTGCAAGAATTCTAGATTATTATAAATTTTGCATAATTTCTGTTTTTTATTATAATTTTTTAACGAAATCTGAAGTATTTTTTTTTTAAAGAATTAAAACATTTTCGTGAATTTTATTTTTTAATCATAATTATAATTCTTCGGAGGAATTTGAATATTAATTCCCTGAAAGAATAAATTTAATTATTTTTAAAATTTTTTTACTAAATTCTTTGAAAGAATTTAATTAATTTCAAATATACTTTGAAGCAATTAGATTATTTTCAAAAATTTCAGTAAAATTTTTTACAAAAATTCAATTTTTTTCATAAACAATAAAATTCTTCGGAGGATTTCAATTATTTTCAGTGTTATTTTAATTAATTAAATTTTCTTTGAAATAATTGAATTTGTATTTTTACAAATTTTAACTTTTTTTATTTTATTAGTTTTCTAAATAATAAAGTGCTGGAATTCAATTACTTTCAGTACAATTTTAATAAAATATCTCCAATTAATTCAATTATTTACAAAAATTTTGATGAAATTTATTTATTAGAATTTAATTATTTTAAATACTTTCTTAATCAAATTCTTGAAAAAAATTATTTTAAAAAATTCTAATGAAATTGTTTTGAAACAATTCAATTATTTTGAAATATTTTAATAAAACTCTTCGGAGGAATTTAATTATTTTCATAAGTTAAAAATTTCTTCGGAGCAATTAAATTATTTTTAATACAAAATTTTAATAAAAGTTCTTGATAGAATTTAATTACCTATTAAAAAAAAATTTAATAAAATTCCTTAAAATAATTAAATTTTCAAAAATTCTAATAAAGTTCTTTAAAAAAATTCAATTAATTTCAGTAGAATTTTAATTAATTGAATGAATTAAAATTTTGTTCCAAACTTTTTATTAAAATACTTCGAAACAACGATTATTATTTATTTCTTTAGATTCTACTGCATTTTTAAATCAACATGAATATCGAATTTTGTGTAAAAATGGATCTCTTGCAATTCATACTGGATTTGATGTCGATACAAATTGTGCGTGGTCTGTCACTATCGACAGTGAGGTAAATAATATTTTTTAACTGAACTATATAACTAAACTAAAATTAAACTAAGAAATTTAAATTTTTAACTAATAATTTTATTTTTTAATTTCAGTTTATAAAATTAATTTAATTAACGTCAGTGAAGTTCACGACGTTTATGATAAATGATTCAAAGAGAAATAATTTAAAAAAAGCAATATTTTGTTTTGTATAACATTTTTTTTTCAAATTATTGATCAAAAAATTATGAAAAATATTTTTTTATACAAAAATATATAAAAATTTGAATAGAAAAATGTTTTTTTTTCTAAATCGTTGATTATAATAATGAAGTTCAATCAATAATTTGAAGTTCACCAAAGTTTTAATTAATAAAATTAATTTAATTATTTCTTTAAATAATTTGTTAATAATCCTTTTTTTTCTATCCTAAATTTGTAGATAGTGTCAAGAAAGGATATTTCGAAAACTGAACGCTCAAATATGGCAACAGTTCTCTTGAAATTAAACACCTGGCTGAGTTCGAATGTGCACACTCCAATGTATATTTACAAGAGTTTTAATGGAACGAAAGATTTACTTTTCAAAGATTCAACTGTTGGTTTTGAATCTTCAATTTCTGAGGTACAATCAGTGAAGGCTTATAAAAGTTTGATGACTGACGCCGAAAAATGTTCTGGAGCATCATCATTAAGTTTTATTAGTTTATTAATTTTATTAGTGTCATTAATTTCTAATCGAATTTTATAAAAGAAAAAGAAGAAAAAAGTATAAAGTATTTTTGAGATTAGTGCGTATTTGTCTATTCATAATTAGTGTATTTTTACTGTATTAAATGTTTTATAAAAATAAATTTTCTAAAAAAAATTACGTTGAACCATTTAATTATTTATTTACTTCATTACGCTTAGTTTTAATTTATTTAAACAAATATTTAAATTTAGTTGAACTTTCCCGCCTATTTTATAACTGCGCGAGTGTGGTTGCCTACTTTAAGGAACTTTTTTTATAAAACTGATTGACAATTCAGGTTAGATTTACTAGATTGTAACTTTTAAGCGTTTCAAGGAAATAAATAGAATAGTTGATAAATTGTATTTTAAAACCAATTATTTGTATTTTAGTATTTAATTTTGTTCACTTAGGTTCAAATCGTTCAAATTTTTGTTCCTGGAAAATTGGAACGTGGAATTTGAAACCGCCTCAAGTTCGCAACGTTCCTCCCGTTCAACTGCAGTTGGCAAGCAAACATGGCGGACCAAGCAGCGAGACAGCTTCAGTACGAGTATAAAGCGGTAATTATCTATTATTTATCGATATTTTATCATCTATTTGATCTTCAATCGACTCTATTATCCTCTATGTACATAAATTTTGATCATTCTCTTATTTTTTTGTTAAATTACATATGTAATTACGTGTCTAATTTCGTTGCATGTACGTTTACTTTTTAGGTTAGGTTGTCGAAAACAAAACTTATAATATTGTTATAAACAACAAAAATTTTATTCTTCCTAATTTAATTAATACTTTTTCGAGTTATTTGATGAGGTTTTAATGTTTTGAAGTAAATTTAGTTGGTGTAACTGATTTTTACTTGGCATAATTTTCGGGGTTTTCGGCAGTCTGTTCGTCATTGTTACTCTTGTATTCTTGTATTTGATGACGAATTTCATGTTTAGTATGATTGAAACTTACAAATTAGAACATAATGAATGTAAATTTAATATTTTTGTAGAATTCGAATCTTGTCTTACAAGCTGACGTCCGCTTGATTGAAAGACGTAGCCGTGATGAAGCGACAGGTGAAGTTATGTCCCTTGTGGGCAAACTGGAGGGATCCAGAATGGGCGATAGGGCACAACGCACGAGACCGGGAAAAGCAGAGGAAAGAAAAGTCAAGTTAGTATATTTTATTATCTTTATTGGCCGTTTTCGGCACTCGCCCCGGGTTAACTCCCGGTTAACGGTGATTGGTTAGATCCAACAGAATGTTGTTGATGATTGGATAATTGTTAACTCGGGGTTAACCCTGGGTGAATGCCGAAAACAGCCATTAACAAATTAACGAGTTATAGTTATTAAATTTATTTTTTTATATTTTATTTCTCTCAAATTACAGCAGAGTTGCCACAGGTCAGGGCAAAATCAGGGATTTTTATTAAAAGTACTGGAAAAATTGCGTTTACAATTTTTGAAAAATTTTAATAATTCAAATTCTTCTGAAATTAGTTAAATTTTTTAATATATAATTATACTTAATAATTATTAAAAATAATGGATTTATAGAGAATTTTAGTTTAAAACACTTTTAAAAATTGAATTTCGGAGAAGTTAAAATAATTGGGAAAATTCAATTATTTTTAAAAGTAAGAAAATTCTTCGCAGAAATTCAATTATGCTCAAAAATTTAAAAAAATTCACGTCAAAATTTCAATTGTTTTTATAAATAATAAAATTCATCTCCAAAATTCAAATATTTACAAAAATTTTAATAAAATTCTTGGCAAAATTTCAATTATTTTCATAAATAATAACATTTTCTACAGGGATTCAGTTATTTTTATAAATAATAAAATACTTTTTATGAATTCAATTATTTTGCTAAATAATAAAATTTTTCTCAAGAATTCAATAAATTTCTAAAATTCTAATAAATGCTTCGCAGGAATTAAATTATTTTCTAAACTTTTAATAAAATTCTTGGAAACAATTTAATTATTTTTAAAACTTATAAAATAATAAAATTCTTCGCAGGAATTCAAATATTTTTATAAATAATAAACATTTTCTGAAGAGTTAAATTATTTTCAATACGATTTCAACAAAATTTCTAGAGAGGATTAAATTATTTTAAAAAAATTATTAAAATAACGAAAGCATTCAAGTAATTACTAAAATTTTTGGAAACAGTTTAATTATTCTCAAAGATTTTAAGAAATTCTTCGCAAAGATTCAATTGTTTTTAAAAATAATAAAATTTTTCTCAAGAATTCAATTATTTTCAAAATTTTTAATAAAATTCTCCGCAAGAATACAATAATTTTTATAAATAATAAATTTCTTCTCAATTCAATTGTTTTCAATAATGTTTCACGAAAGGATTCAATTATTTATAAAAAGTATTAAAATTATGAAAGATTCCAGTTATTTTCAAAAATTTCAATAAAATTCTTGACAAAATTTCAATTATTTTCAAAAATCTTCCTCAATTCAATTATTTTCAATATTAATAAAATTTTCTAAAAGAATTCAATTATTTAAATTTTTTTTTAAAATTCCTTAGTAATAATTCAATTGTTTTCATAAATAATAAATCTCATCGCAGAATTTCAATTATTTTTAATACAATTTTAATCGAATTCTTTGAAAAAAGTAATTAATCTAACAAATTTTATTAAAATTCGTCGAAGAAATTCAATTATTTAAAAATTTTTTGATAAAATTCTTCATGAGAATTCAATTTTGAGAAAAATTTAGTTTATTGAATAAATTATTTATTTTTGTATTTAAATACTTGAATTCTGCTAGAATTTTCTAATAAAAATCGATTTAAAAATGAATTTCAGTTAAAATTTTAGATAATATTTGAATATTAAAAGCATTATGGCGAGAATTTTTAGAAATAATTGAATTTTTAAAAGTTTTTAAATTAAAATATTTGAAAATCTGAATTTTTTTTAATTGAATTTTTCTTGAATTTGTTGAAGTTTTTTTTAAAATTATTCAATTGAGAAATTCCAAACAATCAAAATTTCGTATACTGAATTGTAAACAAATGGATTTGAAAATTCTCCAGGAACTATTTAAAAGTTTTTCTTTTCTTTTTTTTAACTTTTTCAAAAATTATTAAAAATAATTGATTTAAAGAAGAGATTTAGTTAAAAATTCTAGAAAATAATAATTGAATTGAAATGATGAAAATAATTTTGAAGATATTATAGTATAAAATAATGATTTTATCACTGAGTCATCTTTAAATATTATAAGTTATTGAATTTCGAAAGGTTTATTAGAATTTGAAATTTTTGAAAATTTTAATTCTAATGAAAAAATAATAATGATTAAATATTCATTTTAAATAAAACGTTTGATGTTTTCGAATAATTTTACAATTAGAGAAATTCATAAATAAATTTTTAGAGTGTATTGGAATATTCTTTATGATCAGGGAAAAAGTCAAAATTGTGTCTGGAAGTCAGGGAAAAACAAAATTAAACTTTTGTGGCAATCCTGTACAGAAATAGATATTTACATGGAAAAAGAAATCTATTTTCAATAAATAAATATTTTTGCAGACGTCAGAAACGTGATGAAGCACAGTACGATTTTACTCGTATGAAAGGTGTAACTTTGCTTTCCGATAATATGGATCAAATGGTTGGCATTATATATCGTCCCAAAACACAGGAAACACGACAGACGTACGAAGTTTTATTGAGTTTTATTCAAGAAGCAATTGGCGATCAACCGCGTGATATATTGTGCGGCGCCGCTGACGAAGTGTTGGCTGTCTTGAAGAATGATCGTCTCAAGGAGAAGGAGAAGAAACGTGAGACAGAATCATACTTGGGAAATTTAGCCGAAGAGAGATTTGCCCTTCTCGTGAATCTTGGAAAGAAGATCACTGATTTTGGCAGTGATGAAAAAATGCAAACTAATGATGATAATTTGGAGAATGGAATTAATGTTCAGTTTGAAGAGGGAAGCGAGGAGGATGATGAGGATGTTTATGGAGAGGTGCAGGAAGGCGATGAGGAGGGAGAGGAAGGAGAGGAAGCCAATGACGATCGTCTTATTCATGCCGAAAATGTAAGATATTAAAAAATATGTCGATTTTTTTTGCAATAGATAATAATTTTAATTAATTCGTTTATTAAATTGACTAGCATAACTACACGCTCACGAACAAGCGAAAATTACATGAAATTTTCACGTAATTAAAATAAGTTGAATTAAATTATTTAATTTGAATTCTTTTTTGAAATAAGAACTTTATGAAGAAATTATCTTTGATTTACAGTTGGGCGGCGTGGAAGAATTGAAAAAAGAAAAGTCCTTAAATCCTTGCGATATAGATGCTTATTGGTTGCAAAGGCGATTGAACAGAATATACAACGAGGCGTTAGTCTCGCAGGCAAAGACTGCCGAGGTTTTGGAAATTCTTAAAGACGCAGGAGACGATCGTGAATGTGAAAATCAACTTGTACTTTCTTTGGGTTACGACTGTTTTGACTTTATCAAACAATTGAAGAAACACAGGCACATGAGTGAGTTTCTTTACTAAAATCTTTATTTTATTTTTATATCTCTACAGATCTTGGATATTATGACTTTTTCGACTATTTTCAAAAAATGCGACTTTTTTCAACTTATTTTCAAAAATTGCGACTTTTTCGACTTTCTTCCAAGTTTTGCCACAAAAACCACATTTTTGGTATAAAATGCAATTTATTTCGATTTTTATAGACAAATCTTTCAAAAATTATTTTTGATTGATTTGTCTAATTAAACTTTTGAAATATACAATTAAAAGATTTTTCAATAATTGAAGTTTTATAAAAATTTAACTGAAAATAATTGATTTTTCCAAGTACTTAAATACAATTTTTGAAAATCAACTTTTGAGGAGTTCTAATTGTAAATTTGGAAAATAATTGAATTCTCAAAAATTTCAATGAAAAATCTTCAAGTGTAAATTTATAAATATGAAAATTAATGAAAATTAGCTTCTAAAAATTATATTAAAATATTTTTGTAAAAAGTAATACTTATAGAATTTTTTCCTTGTAATTTTTTAAAATTCAATTATTTTCAATAATTTCAATTACATATTTCCGAAAATTCAAATACGTACAAAAAATAATAACATAATTGAAAGAAAAATTAAAAATCATTGATTTGGAAATAAAGTTTAGTTAAAAATTGTAGAAAATAATTTAATTTTGGAAGGGTTATAGAATTAAATATTTTATAAATTTTTTTTTTATAAATTCCAGTTGCTTATTGTACAATGTTGGCGTCATCGCAGTCGGAATCAGAGAGGCAAGAAATTCGAAATAAAATGAATGACGATCCTGCTCTTTTGAAAATTTTGCGACAACTAGACAACGCAGGCAAGGGAGATGAGGACAATGACGAAACAATGGAGGCACGAGCACAACGAAAAAGAAGGGAAGAAAACGAGGACACGGGAGGACCAGGAGGTCAAGTTCAAGGCTCACGTAATATTATCGATTTGGAGGATTTAATTTTCACCCAGGGCAGTCATTTCATGGCTAATAAACGCTGTCAGTTACCTGACGGTAGTTTCCGTAAACAACGAAAAGGGTAGGTTTCATAAAATATTTTATTTACATAAATAGGATCACATCACAAATACTTGCTTTTTTTGTTTCCTAACTTTTTTTAATAATTTTTCTTTTCAAATATTTTCAATTTTAAAATTAATGTATAAAAAATCATTGAATTCTTGCAAAGAATTTTGTCAAAAAATTTGAGAATAATTGAATACCTTCGCAGAATTTTATTATTCATGAAAATAATCGAATTCTAGAGAAAAATTTTATTAAAATTTTTAAAAATCCTAATTAAATTCTTTTGAAGAATTTCTTTGGATTTTTTTTAAATAATGGAGTTTCTTTGACAATTTTAATTGAAAATTTTGAAAGTAATTTAATTTTATGAACAATTTCTTTTACGCTTTTAAAATAATTGTGTTTCTTAATAATTAATATTAAACATTTAATTACTGAATTTTATTAAAATTTTTAGAAAATAATTAAATTCTTTTAAACAATAGATTCTATTAAAGGTTTTTATTAGAATTTTTGTAAATATAGTTTAATTCTTTTGAAGAATTTCATTCTGTTTTTTTAAATAATGTAGTTTTTTGAAAAATTTCAATTAAAAAGTTTGAAAATAATTGAATTAAACAAAAAATTTTTTCAACTTTTCAAAATAATTTTTGCGATGAATTTTAGTTCGAAAGGATTTCTTGACAAGAATTTATATCAAATTTTTGAAAATAATTGAAATTCTGTAAAGAATTCAATTATTTATGAAAAAAATTGAATTCTTGACAAGAATTTGTTTCAAATTTTTGAAAATAATTGAAATCCTCCAGAGAATTTAATTATTTATGAAAAAATTGATTTTTTGACAAGCATTTGCTTCAAATTTTTGAAAATAATTGAAATTCTCCGAAGAATTTTATTATTTATAAAAATAATAGAAATCTCCCAAAGAATATTATTTTTTATGATAATTGAATTCTTGCGAAGAATTTTATTATTTAAGAAATTAATACAAATCTTCTAAACAATTTTAATTTTTATGAAGATAATTGAATTTTTAGGAAAAATTCTATAAAAATTTTATTATTTATGAAAATAATTGAAATCTTGCAAAGATTTTTATTAAAATTTTTAAAAAATAATATAATTGTTTGGATGAATTAAATTCTTTGCAGAAATTTAGTTAAGATTGTATATATTGAAAATAATTGAATATTTATGAAGAATTTTATTGAAATTTTTGAAAATAATTGAATTTCCTTGGAAAATTTTATAACGAATCAATAAAAAAATTGAATTTTTTCGTGAAATTTTATTGATAATAATTGAATTTTTGCTATGATTTTACTATTTTAAAAAACAATTGAATTGTTTCGAAGAATTTATTAAAATTTATTGATACTAATTGAATGTTTGCAAAAAATTTTATTATTTAATTTATAAAAATAGCTGAATTCTTCCGAAGAATGTTATTATTAATAAAAATAATTAAATTCTTCCGAGGAAATTGTATTCAAATTTTTGAAAATATAAACATTAATAATGTACTTAATATGTGAATTTTTTAAATTTTGATTATGAAATTATTCAAAAATTTATATTTGATAATAAAAAATTTTGTAATTTGCCTAATAATAATAAATTACGCGACATTCCGCGCGCGTAACAGTATAATTAATAATAAATATTAGAATATTATTACAAGAGAACTAATAAAACGTATTTTATTTGCAGATACGAGGAAGTTCACGTACCGGCCCTGAAACCAAAACCATTCGGTGAAAATGAAAAACTCGTTCCAGTTGATCAACTACCAAAATATGTGCAACCAGCATTTGATGGTTTCAAAACACTGAATCGAATTCAAAGTCGATTGCAACACACGGCATTGGAAAGTGATGAGAATCTTCTTTTGTGTGCTCCCACTGGCGCTGGTAAGACAAACGTTGCATTGCTAACTATGATGAGGGAAATTGGCAAACATATAAACGCCGATGGATCAATAAATGTCGATGAATTCAAGATTATTTACGTGGCGCCAATGCGCTCATTGGTACAGGAAATGGTTGGTAATTTTGGCAAGCGTCTCGAATCGTACAATCTCACTGTTTCCGAATTGACTGGCGATCATCAATTGACGAGGGAACAAATTGCCGCTACGCAGGTGATTGTATGCACACCTGAGAAATGGGATATAATAACGCGTAAAGGAGGTGAAAAAACGTTTACATCACTCGTTCGATTGATAATCATTGACGAAATTCATCTGTTGCACGATGAACGTGGACCGATTTTGGAGGCACTTGTCGCGAGGACGATTAGAAATATACAGACAACACAGGAGGATGTCCGTCTCGTTGGACTGTCGGCAACTCTGCCGAATTATCAGGACGTGGCGACGTTTTTGCGCATTAAGCCCGAGACTGGTTTGTTTTATTTTGATAACAGTTTCCGACCAGTTGCTCTCGAGCAGCAATATATTGGCGTGACGGAGAAGAAGGCTTTGAAGAGATTCCAGGTGATGAACGAGATTGTTTATGAGAAGACGATGGAGCACGCGGGAAGGAATCAAGTTCTGATTTTCGTTCATTCGAGGAAAGAGACGGGAAAGACGGCGAGAGCGATTAGGGATATGTGTCTCGAGAAGGATACTCTGGGACAGTTTCTGAGAGAGGGTTCGGCGTCGATGGAAGTTTTACGAACGGAAGCCGAGCAGGTGAAGAATCACGAACTTAAGGATCTGCTGCCCTATGGATTCGCTATTCATCACGCAGGAATGACGAGGGTTGATCGTACGTTGGTCGAGGATTTATTCGCTGATAAGCATATTCAAGTTTTGGTGTCGACTGCAACTTTGGCCTGGGGTGTGAATTTACCGGCGCATACGGTTATTATTAAGGGAACGCAGGTTTATAATCCCGAGAAGGGACGATGGGTCGAACTTGGAGCTCTGGACGTTCTTCAAATGTTGGGCCGTGCCGGTCGTCCGCAATACGACACGAAAGGAGAAGGTATCTTGATAACAAATCACAGTGAACTGCAGTATTACCTCTCGTTGTTGAATCAACAATTGCCGATTGAATCGCAACTTGTCAGCAAAATGTCAGATATGTTGAATGCTGAAATTGTCCTGGGAACGATTCAGAATATCAGGGACGCCGTCACTTGGGTAGGCTACACGTATCTTTATATAAGAATGCTGAGAAGTCCATCGCTCTACGGAATCGGTCACGATAAACTGAAGGAAGATCCATATTTGGAATTACATCGCGCTGATCTTATTCACTCCGCCGCAATGTCTCTGGATCGAAGTGGTTTGATCAAGTACGATAGAAAATCGGGTAATTTCCAAGCTTCCGAGTTGGGGAGAATTGCCTCTCACTATTACTGTACTCACGATACGATGTTGACTTATAATCAACTACTAAAACGCACCTTGAGCGAAATCGAACTCTTTCGTGTATTTTCATTGTCTGGGGAGTTTCGCAATATCAACGTTCGTGAGGAGGAGAAGCTGGAGTTGCAGAAACTAATGGAAAGAGTTCCGGTTCCAGTTAAGGAGAGTATTGAGGAACCGAGCGCAAAGGTGAATGTACTCCTTCAGGCCTACATTTCCCAGTTGAAATTAGAAGGTTTCGCATTAATGTCCGACATGATTTATGTCACACAATCCGCTGCTCGATTAATGAGAGCAATTTACGAAATTGTTCTATTCCGCGGTTGGGCGGCACTGGCCGATAAATGTCTAACTCTGTGCAAGATGATCGACAGACGAATGTGGCAATCGATGTCACCTTTACGACAATTTCGCAAGATGCCTGAGGAAATTGTCCGAAAGATAGAAAAGAAAAATTTTCCCTGGGAAAGATTGTATGACCTCGGACCTAATGAAATTGGGGAATTGATCCGAGTTCCTAAGTTAGGAAAGACTATTCACAAGTATATTCATCAATTTCCAAAACTCGAACTCTCGACTCACATTCAACCGATTACGAGATCGACACTCAGAGTCGAATTGACGATCACACCGGACTTTCAATGGGACGAGAAGATACATGGCGCTTCGGAGGCTTTTTGGATTTTGGTCGAGGACGTCGATTCGGAGGTTATTCTACATCATGAGTACTTTTTATTAAAATCAAAGTACTCGAACGATGAGCATTTGATTAAATTCTTTGTTCCTGTTTTCGAACCTCTGCCACCGCAGTACTTTTTGCGGGTCGTTTCCGATAGGTGGATCGGCGCCGAGACGCAATTGCCGGTCAGTTTTCGACACTTGATTCTCCCGGAGAAGAATTTACCACCAACGGAACTTTTGGATTTGCAACCATTGCCGATCACTGCTCTGCGGAATCGTGATTTTGAAGCTCTTTACGCGAGTCCCTATCGATCGTTTGATCAGTTCAATCCAATTCAAACGCAGGTGTTCAACGCTGTTTATAATTCGGACGATAATGTGTTTATTGGAGCGCCAACTGGATCGGGTAAGACGACAATTGCGGAGATTGCCATATTTCGATTGTTGACGAAAAATGAGCACGGACGGTGTGTTTATATTGTGAGTCAGGAGCCGTTGGCTGAATTGATTTACGCCGATTGGTTGGAAAAGTTTAATCACGGTTTGGGGAAGAAGGTTGTTTTGTTGACGGGTGAGACGGGGACGGATTTGAAATTGATTGCAAAAGGACAGATTGTGATTACAACGGCTGAAAAGTGGGATGTGTTGTCGCGCAGGTGGAAACAGAGGAAGAATGTGCAGAATATTCATTTGTTTATTGTGGATGAATTGCAGTTGATCGGGGGTGAGGAGGGACCGATTTTGGAAGTTGCTTGCTCAAGGGCGAGGTATATTTCGAGTCAACTGGACAGTCCGGCGAGGATGATTGCGTTGTCGGCTTCGTTGGCTGATGCAAGGGACGCTGCACAGTGGTTGGCTGCACCAGCTGCGGCGACTTTTAATTTCCATCCGTCGGTTCGTCCGATTCCTTTGGAGCTACACGTTCAGGGGATTAATATCACGCATAATGCTTCGAGATTGGCGGCGATGGCAAAACCGGTTTATAACGCAATTCTACGACATGCGCCACAGAAGCCGGCTATTATTTTCGTACCAACTCGACGACAGGCACGTTTGACGGCTATTGATCTTCTGACTTTCACGGCAGCCGAGGGACAGCCGGCGAGATTTTTCCACGCCGAAGAAGCGGATATAAAGCCATTTTTGGATCGGATGTCGGATAAGACGCTGAAGGAGACACTATCGCAGGGAGTTGCTTATTTGCACGAGGGACTGTCGGCTGATGATCGGCATCTTGTGGAACAACTTTTTGCTACCGAGGCGATTCAGGTCGCTGTCGTCACAAGGGATTTGTGCTGGGGTTTGTCGATCAGCGCGCATTTGGTTGTTATCATGGACACCCAGTGTTATAACGGAAGGACACATGCTTATGAGGATTATCCAATTACAGACGTTTTGCAAATGGTCGGAAGGGCAAATAGACCTGAGTCTTGGGATCATGACGCGAAATGTGTTTTACTTTGTCAGAATTCGAAGAAAGATTTCTTTAAGAAGTTCCTGAATGAACCGCTACCGGTCGAAAGTCACTTGAATCACAGACTTCATGATCACTTCAATGCGGAGATTGTGACGAAAACTATTGAGAATAAACAGGATGCGGTCGATTATCTCACTTGGACGTTCCTCTACAGGAGATTGACGCAGAATCCGAATTATTACGGTTTGCAGGGAGTGACACATAGACATTTGTCGGACTATCTTTCGGAGTTGGTGGAGAGTACACTTGGCGATTTGGAGCAAGCGAAATGTGTCTCGGTGGAGGATGAGGTCGACACGATTCCATTGAATTTGGGAATGATTGCCGCCTACTATTATATTAATTACGCGACTATTGAACTGTTCAGTTCGTCCCTGACGAGTAAGACGAAAATTCGCAGTCTTTTGGAAATTATTTCCGCTGCCGCTGAATACGAGGCGGTGCCGGTTCGACAACGGGAGGAGAATCTTCTGAGGAGTCTGGCGGCTCGTTTGCCACACGCACCATCGCAATCGGAGAGAATGGCGAATCCACACGTGAAGGCTTTACTTTTGCTTCAGGCGCATTTGTCGCGTATTCAACTTGGACCGGAATTGCAAAAGGACACGGAATTCGTCTTAGGAAAGGCTCTACGATTAATTCAGGCTTGTGTCGATGTATTGAGTTCGTCAGGATGGTTAGCACCCGCAGTCGCCGCTATGGAATTGGCACAAATGGTCACCCAAGCGATGTGGTCGAAGGACTCGTATTTGAAACAACTACCACATTTCACTCCGGAAATAATAAAACGTTGTACTGAACGTGAAGTTGAAACTGTCTTCGACATCATGGAACTAGAGGATAATACACGTAATCGTTTGTTACAATTGAACGATTCACAAATGACCGATGTGGCGAAATTCTGTAATCGCTATCCAAATATTGACATGTCGTACGATATTCATGACAAGGATCGATTGAGAAGCGGAAGAACTGTCAATGTCACTGTACAATTGGAGCGTGAGGATGAAGTCGTTGGACCTGTTATCGCACCGTTTTTCCCACAGAAACGCGAGGAGGGATGGTGGGTGGTGATTGGTGAACCAAAATCAAATTCTCTATTGTCCATCAAGAGATTGACGTTACAGCAAAAGGCAAAAGTGAAATTGGATTTTGTTGCTCCCGCTGCCGGACAATATTCATATACATTATATTTCATGAGTGACGCCTATTTGGGATGCGATCAAGAATATCAGTTTACAATCAGTGTCACTGAGTTTGAATCTGACGCAAGTTCTGCTTCCGATTCGGATTAGAGACAAAAAAATTGAATTTTTTTTTTACTATTTCCAAAGGATTTTTTTTTCTATGCAAAGAAAGGAGTTTCTTTAATTTGCACTCGCGTTTTGAATGCAAGGTGAGCGTTTGAATTTTTATAAATGGGTTAAAAAGAAAAAATTTACTCGTTGAGTATGTTTTTCCTTTTTTAAATGTAATTTGAGTGTCAGTTTGTTGATAATCATCGACTTTAATTTGTACAGTTTATTATTAATTAAATAGTATTAAATAGCAATATAATAATTTTATATTGTTTTTATTAGGATTACTATGGAAAAAAAAGAGAAAAAAAATAATAAAGTCGTGATGATTGATAAATCGTTTTACTTTTTAATAATATGAAGGGGTGAAAGTTGGTGGAATAAATTTTAGTTATTTTTCTTTCATTACATGACTTTATGAACATTTAATATTTTTGTTTTACATTTAAGGCTCTCATTCGAACACATGTAATATGGATAGGCCAGTGCGAGTAACAATGAAATTGAACGAATTTATTTTTCTAAAATTTCTTTTACGAAGAATCTTTCGTTTTTTATTCTCTTTTAATATTTTTTCTTTAGTTTTACAATTTTTGAATTATTAGGATTTTTATTTCTGATTCTTAAGGTGCATTTTCTATAAAACTTGATTAACTTTTTTTTTAATTTTCAAGGGTGTTCGTACATTTGACATAATTTTTTTTCATTTAATTCAATTCATTTAATTATTTTTATTTAATGATTTAAATATTTAAATATTTTAGTATTTAATTGTTACAATATTTTAATATTCAATTATTTCAATATTTAAAATTCATTGTATTAAATAATAATGATTGTAAAAATATTAATTGTTTTTCTATAGATGGAGAAAGAGAGAAAGAGAATTGTTGAATTTTTCTGAATATTGCTATTACGTTTTTTTATTTTGTTTATTAAAGTATGTCAATATATATCGAACGCTCTTATAAAAAGAAAACTTTTACTTTTAAGGCGTTTTGGTTTATTTAATGGATTATTTTTTACTGGCTCAGGTTTATATTTATGTAACATTTCATTCGCTCTGAAATTATTAACTATTATCTCCTTAAAACTAAGCTAAATTTATATAAATAATTATTTTCACAAAATAATTGTTCGCTACACTATATTTTCAAAAATAATTATTTTTCAACTTATATTTTTGGAAGAATCGAATTTATTAAAAACGAATCGGATTGATTTACAAATATTGAGCATTCTATTAAAAAATTGTTATTATTGTTATTATTATTTTTATTATTTAAATAATTATACTAAGGTAAATTTAAATTAATTATAATTAAAATAATAATAATAATAATAATAATAATAATAATAATAATACCAAAAATACTAATAATAATTATATTAAAATAAATAATAATAAAAATAATGACAATAACTTTAAGAATAGTGATAGTAATAAAAAAATAGGAGAAAAGTAATAATTAACAAAAATTGTTACATTTATAAAACAATAATGAAAGAAATTTAAAAAATTAAAATGTCCTAAAATTTTTAACTTTCAAATGAACAATATTCTTTTTTTTATTTAAATATTTTTAAAAATGACTACAAACATAAAAAAATAACAAAAATTAAATATTTACTTAGTTAAGAATTATTTTTTGCAATAAATAATGTTTTGTATAAAAAAATACAAAAAGAAAAAAAAATATGGTTCGAAAAAAATATTTTTTGAACTTTCGAAACTTTTGGGAACATATAAAATTATTAATTATTAATAATATAATTTTATTAATATTATAATATAATATTTATTTATAATATATAAATTTTTACAATAAAATATTATAATATTTTATTAATTATCAATTAATTATTAATGTGATCACAAGTTTTGAACGTTCAAACGAACGAAATATTTTTTATGAATGAAATAAAATTGATAGAATAAAATTAAAAGAATAAAATTAATAAAAAATAAATTCAGGAAATTAAATTTGAAAAATTAAAGTTAAAATTTGAAAACTTAAATTTTTCATTTCTAAACTATAATTAATTTTTTTGACAGTGACACAAATTTAATTTGCAGAAGAAACAAATTTTCATTCGATTGAACGTTTTGAACTTTAGGATCATATTATTGATTCATTATTTAATATAATTCAAAATTACAATTTTGCAAATAAATATTAATTGAAACGAATCTATTTTAAATTTACAATATTAGATATTATTTTTAATTCTTAGTGTTTTTTTTTCTTTTAAATAATTCAATGAATTTTTACAATTAAAGTCTTTAAAAAGCACCATGATTGACGAAATTTGATATTTTTCTTTTTCGATATTTAAATGTGTGCGCAAAATGAAAATTTAATTATATTATAATTTTTGTTTTAAATACTTTTAGTGATGAATATTAACAGTATTGATATTTGACTTTCATTATTGTGTACTGAAAACATTTTTTTTTTCGTTTACTTGTTTTTTTTTAAATAACATTTTAGCTTACAACAATATTTGGATATGATCATTACAATAAATATGGAAATAAGGACAATGTTTAAATCGAAAATTTTTTCGTTGGATTCATTTGTCATTACAGGTAAATTCTGAGTTTTATATTTTCGGACATTTGCTGATTATTTTCTGTTTATTTTGTTTGTTACAGATTTTTTATATTCAGGCAGTGTTGATGTCTTTTTTTTAAAAACAAATATAATTTTGTGATGAAGCTAATTTCGAATTTCGTTGGAAACGAATTTTGAGAAAAGTCGAAATGGGTATGTATTTTCTTTTTGAAAATAAGAACTAATTATTGATTTAATTCTAATTTTAAAAAATTTGATACGTAAATTAAATCTGATTTTATTTTAACGGACGTATATTTTTCACTATTTTATTAATAATTCTTTTTTTAAATGACATATTATTGTTTTTTTTTGTCAATAGTCGTATAATCGTTTAATTTTTTTCTATTATTAGTATTATTAATTAAATGAAGACTATTCAAAATGCCTGATAATGTTTCATTATCTAATGTTTGACTAGATATAAAATTATTATAATTATGACCGCTAAGTCTAATTTAACGCTTAAAATTTATTTGATTAATCATTGTCACAATTTCTATGATTCAAAAATGATTAATTAATAATATATTATATTTCCCTTTTTAACGATGAATAATTCCGTAAAAAATAATTTAAAAATATTGTTAATTTAATAATGCATAATAGGTATAACATTCCTGCGATGATTTTTCTTTTTTATATTTATGATAATGCAACTTTTTACATATTTCGTTTCATTATATATCTTCAAATATATATTTATAAAAATGGTGAAATTAAATAAATAATTGATATATAAGTTATTAGTCAGACATTTATACTGAAATAATAATACTTTTTTCTTAAGGATCTGTGACACTTTTACTGAATAATTGAAAATTGATTTCGATTTGTAATTTTATTTTCTTGATTTTATGATTTCATATAAAAATTAGATTTTAAGATATTAATTTTTAATAAATTGTAATATTGTTAATTAAAAACCAATTTGGTAATTTTTAATTATTCGAGTAATTGTTGACTTATGTGTCACTTTGTCCTTAATGCAACTTAACAATTAATTAAGATGATCGTTTGTTTTATTTATCACAGAGAAAGCGATCGTAAGTCGTTTGAAGTGGGACGTTTCTTGCAAATTTCTGTCTTTATAAATTTTAAATTCGAGTTGTAAAAACTTTTATTCAAAAGAAAGTGATTTAAATATTTTGCGTGTAAAAAGCATTTTTTTTTTCTAAAGTGTGGCGAGTTATTATCTAAGTTACTTTTTTTCAAAACTATTTCCTGTTGTTTTATTGTCTGCGTTTAAAGTTTAAATTTAAGAATCGCAAACACCGCTTACTAATAACTTTTATTTTCTACTTTTTCTTTCTCTTTACTATTAAATTTTTCTCTCACTTCCTTATTTTCTAATTTCCGTTTGTTTTTATTTCAGCTTTTCGCAATTGTGAAAATTTCCACTCTGATGTTTGATGAGGAAAAATTCGCATTTTCATTTGGCGAGAGTTGGATAAAAGGACAATACGTTTCCACTTCGACGATTGTATCGCATGGCATTTATGGTAATTATAGAATTATTATGGTATAATTATTAGAAAATTTCTAGAAAAAAATAGGAACAAAAAAAATTAAAGGAATGGAAAATTTTTTTAGTAACTTTTACTGAAGGCTTTCTTCAACCGTGTCGTCGAGGGTGTGAAGCCAATTGAAGATCATCATATTTCTCTCGTACTTGGAGAGTTGTTTTCCTCTTTCCCTCTCGACGTCCTTGACCGTCAGGGCATGATCCTTACTCTTTCGTCCGACCGCGACCACAGGAGCTCCAGGTACAACGAGAGTTGCTCCAGGTGCTATTTGAGCCGCCGATGCTGCAGCTTCCAGTCTATCGAGATTGAATTCACTCTGGGATAAGCGCTCCAGTGCTCGGTAAGTCGTTAACAATCTATTGAATCAAAAAAAAAAAATTATTATGTTAATAATTTTATTTTTATTATTAAATTTTTAGGTCCTTGACGTTGGCGTCGAGGCTGAGCATCGAAAAATATTTTTTTCACAAAAACAAAAAAATGACTCCCTTTTTTCCAAGATTTAAAATTAAAAAAGTACTCAAAAGTTTTTCCTTCTTACTTAAATGACAGAAGTGAAATTAGTTAGAATTTTATCACTAAAAATAAGAAAAATTAGTTTTTGATGCTGAGCGTCGACGACAACTTCAGGAACGTAAATTTTTAAAAATAATTAAAATAGAAATTATTTAAATGAATTAAGCAAAAAATTATTATTTGAAAAAATTCGCATATTTCTATTTGATATTCACATGTGAATATTACATTAAAAATTTTGCAAATTTTTCCCTTTATTTCTAAATAATCAAAATTTTTTTAAAAACCGTGATTAAAAAATAATTTACACAAATTTTTGAACTTAAAAGAAAAATACTTGAAATTTTGTTAAATGATTTTCGAATTTTTTTTAAAAATAAAAAAAAATCCTGCATTATTTTGATTTGACAAACAAAATTTTTTAACAAAACGTTTGGTTTTTCATTTAAAATAAATGTCATAGTTTTGATTTGTCAATTAAAATTTTTATATTATTACAAAATTATAATTTTTTTTTTAAATAAGGTAAAAAAAGCTGCATAATTTCTCTTTTTCATTTCGAAACCCGTCGCGAAAAAGCGAAGAAAATGAATTTAAAAAACGAATAATTGACGAATTTGTAAAAAAATTTTCCTTTATTTCTAAAAATACTTGAGATTTATTAAAATAATTGTAATAAAGAAATAGTAACTTTGTTAATTTTTTTTTATTTATTTATAAAGAAAGACAAGAAGTTTTCTTAAAAATATTGTAATTTAAATTAAAATATTTCAAATATTTCAAATAAATAAATAAATTTAGAATTAAAAATGGTCCAATTTTATTCTTTTTTAATAAGAAAAAAAATAAGGAACATAATATTTTGTATAAAAATTGTGATTATGAAATAGAAATTATGTAAATTTTTTCCATTAATTTCTAAAAAATAAATTATAATTCCTTTAAAAGTTGTGATTAAAAAATAGAATTTATAGACTTTTTTCCATAGGAAACTTAAAGTTTTGTAAGAAAAAAACAATGATTGACAAATACAATTAAGACAATTTTTTTTCTTTATTTTATAAAAATCTTTTGATATTGTCAGTTTTATTTTCCATTAAAACTTGTAATTGATGAATCGATTTTATAAAAAACTTTGTCTTTTATTTTTAGAAAATACTTGGAAGTTTGATAAAAAATTGTAATTGATAAATAGAAATGGTGTAAATTATTTTCTTTAAAAAAAACTGAGAATTTATGTACAAAAATTAAAAGTAGCGCGATTAAGAAATAGAAATTATGCAAATTGTTTTTATTTTTCAAAAGATGTTTATAAATTTTTTGAACAAAATTAGTATTTTGAAATAGAAAATTTAAAAAAGGGTATATTTTTCATTGTTTAGTCATAATTCTTCAATAATTAGTAATATAACTTTTTTATATAAATAAAGAAAAAAATATCTGCACTTGTACAATTTCTATTTGTCAAACAGAGTTTTTTATAGAGAAGAAAATAAAAGCAAACACAAAAACTAACTCCGGACAGAATGAATGAAGGAATACGAAAATTATTATCTAATAAAAATAAAATATAAAAAATTATTGTATGAAAATTATTGATTTTTATTTCACGTCTTATTAAGGGCATTTGAACCATGATGACGTCACAGATTTAAAACTAATGCTTTGCACAAACTGTGACGTCATCAAGGTTCAAATCCCCTTAAATTACTTTAATCTTTTTTATTTACCTTATTTACTTTATTTATTAGTTCTTTTTTTATAAAACTGTTTCATTTATTATTATTATTCTTATTTTACTTTTTCATAGAGGAAGAATTGCATTTTTATTATTTTTTCTTATTTTCTCATTGAAATTATTCTTTTTGCGACTATTGCGATTATTCTTTTGGGAAAATTTTATTTTCTTTATCGCAAAAGAATTTTTTTTCTCTCGTTTTTCTAAATTGAATTTCTCGTTATTTCTTCCTTCGTTGACTATTTTATTATTTTATTTCAGAGACAGTATTTCTCTGTTATCGAATCAGTGCCATCGAAAGAAACAAAAGGAGAAATAATAAAAAACGCAAATTGGAAATTCTGAACTACGACTCTTCAATCAAATTGTCTATTGTAAACTGATATTGTGATCTCACCGAAAAAAAAGGAAAACAAAAATACCGAAATTCGCACCATTTGACATGGGTAAATATTATTTTTTTTTAATTAGAAACAAAAAAATTGCCTCTATTCAATTCGAATCGCTTGTATATATGTAAAAACAATTTTTAATATTCTAAAGCCAAGTTGCAACAACTAGAGCGATTCATAGATTAATTATTTTCATATAAGTAATTGTGATTGTTTTCTTTGCGATATTTTGTTTCTTAACTTTTTTAATAATTTTTCTTTTTAAATATTTTCAATTTTAAAATTCATGTCATAAAAAACATTAAATTATTGCTAATAAATATTTTACAATTTATAAAAATAATTGAATTGATTCGAAGAATTTTTTCAGAATTTTTGAAAATAATTGAATTTAATTAATATTTTTAAAAATAATTGTATCCGAGTCTTCGACTCGGAGTGGTCGATTTCTTCATGTTTTTTAATAATATTCTTATAAATTGTTGAATTTCAAAAATGTTTGAATTTGAATCTTTTGAAGAATTTTAATTTCTATGGAAAAATAATAATGATTAAATATTTATTTAAAAAAGAAGTTGTTAATGTATTCGAATAATTTTACAATTAAACAAATTTGTAAATAAATGTATTGGAATATTTTTCTCGGCACCTGATCATTTTTAGAGTGAATCAGAATTTTCTTTTCGGGTCAGGGAAAAAGTGAAAATTTTGTTTGGAAATCAGGGAAAAACGAAATTAAATTTTCGTGGCAACCCCGTTAATAAGTGAATTTTTTAAATTTTAATTATGAATTTATTCAAAAAATTAAAAAAGTGAATTTTTAAAATTTTAGTTATGAAATTATTCACAAATTTAAATTTGAAAATAAAAAATTTTGTAATTTGCATAATAATAATAATAAATTGAATATCACGTTCCGCGTGCGTAACATTTGTTAGTTTATTAATAATTATTGTCTTTAAATTATAAATTTAATTTAAAATTATTTTTCAAGGAAAAGAATATTCAACTTTTACAATTATTATTATTATTATTTGACTGTGAAATGAAATTGCAAATTTTGCACACTTACCGTCGACGAATGTAATTTTGACGGACTTTTTTGTTTACAGATCTAACGAGATCGGCAGCAGTGAATGGAATTGTCGGTGGATGAGGTGCAGTAAGTGGTGGTTGTTCACAACCACCGTGAGGACTTGGTAATTGAGAGGTACTGGCAACGTCACCGACTGCAACCCAAGTACTGCAGGACCTCGAGGCATGATCAAGTCCCGCGTGCTCGAGAATAAGATTATTTCTGTGTGCAAAGTCAAGAGCGTGAGCTGAAACTGCTGATCTCAATCCACGCGGTCCATACGCCTCCGGACTAGGAAGCTGTGATACATCGCTTGTACTGAAACTTTTCTGCAGGCCCAATGCCGACGATAGAGCACCACAACTACGAATCAAATCCGTTTCCTCCTCGAACCATATACTTTCCGGTATGTCCGCTGGCCTAAAGACAAGTCATTTTTCTCATTTAAATTCTAAACCATAATTTATATAGTAATTTATGAAAATTTATTATTCATTGCTATTTTCATTTTTTTATTTTTATTATTTTAATCATTTTTTTTTACTTTTTGAATTTTTTTCATTTATCTAAATAGAAATGAAACAAGGGGGTTTTAAGTTTTCTAAATTTATGAAAATAGAGATGAAAAAATTTTCTTTTTGGATTTTCTAAATTTATCAAAATAGAGATGAGAAAAAGAAAAGAGTTTTCCAGAACTAAATCGTTTTCTTTATGAATTTTTGTAAATTTATCAAAATAGAAATGGAAAGGAAAATTTTGCAAGACTGAATAGTTTTCTTTTTGAGTTTTCTAAAGTTATAAAAATTTAAATGAAAAAGAGAAAGAAAATTTACAAAACTGAATAGTTTTCTTTTCGAGTTTTCTAAATTTTTCAAAGTAAAAATGAAAAAGAGAAAAAAGTCTTCTTTCTGAATTTTCGAAAATTTATGGAAAATAGAAATGGAAAAAAATGTTTTGCAAGTTTTTCTTTTGAGTTTTATGAATTTATGAAAAAGAAAAAAAATCTTCTTTCTGAATTTTAGAAAATTTATGAAAATAGAAATTTCTTTGAAGTTTTATAAATTTATGAAAAAGAGAAAAAAATTTTGCATAACTGAATAGTTATCTTTTTGAATTTTCTAAATTTTTCAAAATAGAGATGAAAAAGAAAAAAGTTTTCCAGAACTAAGTCGTCGTCTTTCATTTCTTTTGAAAATAAAAATGAGAAAGAAAAAAATTTTTTGCGAAACTGAATAAGTAGTTTTCTCTCTGAATTTACGTAAATTTTTAACAAAATAGAAATGAAAATGAGAAAATAGTTTTCTAAAACTATAAATAGTTTTCTTTGGAGAAAAGAATGTTCTGAGAATTATTCGATTCGGTAAAGTGAATTTTATGTAAATTAGAAATTCCTCTTGTACAAAAGCAGTTTTACTAAAGTTTCAATCAAGATGAATTAAGTTCCACTAATACTTTGTTTAAGTAATTTGCTCTTGAGTTCCTGAAATTATTTGTCTTGATTCTCATCAGCAATTGTTCTCTAAATTAATTCCTTATTGATATTGATGATTCAATATTATTTTAGAGCAAATATCTAAACAGTAAAGTGGACTATGATTTAAATTTAATTAAGTAAATAAGTACCTAAGTAAATAAAGACAAAAAATAAAAATTAATTAATGTGAATAAAATAAATGACAGTATAATTAGATAAAAATATCCTATTAATTAGAAGAAATTATATATTTTCAATGTTTTCAACGTTCAAATGAAACGAAATTTTTTTTATTTTTCAAATTCAAATCTTATTATCATTATATTGAGTCGTTTTTAAAAAATCTTTTTCTATATTTTTTCTTTTTAAATGTTTTCAATTTTTAAATTAATTTATTGAAAATCATTCAATTTTTGCAAAGAATTTTATTAAGAAATTTGAAAATAATTGAATTGCTTTGAAGAATTTTATAATTTGTGAAAATAATCGAATTCTTACGAAGAATTTTGTTAAAAAGATTTTGAAAATTCTAATTAAATTCTTTTAAAAAATTTCTTTGAATTTTTTGAAAATAATGTACTTTTTTAATAATTTTAATTGAAAATTTTGAAAATAATTGTATTAAACAGAATTTTTTTCAACATTTTACAATTATCGTGTCTGCTAATAATTATAATTGAAAATTTGAATATTGAATTTTATTATTTATAAAAATAATTAAATTTCTGATAAGAATTTTATTATTTATAAAAATAATTAAATTTCTGAATAGAATTTTATTATTTATAAAAATAATTTAATTCTTGGGAAAAATTTTCCTATTTATAAAAATAATTGAATCATTTCGAAGGATTTTGAAAATTTTTTGAAAATAATTGAATCCTTTCGTGAAATTTTATTAAAATTGCATTGGAAATAATTAAATTTCTGATAAGAATTTTATTATTTATAAAAATAATTGAATTTCTGAATAGAATTTTATTATTTACAAAAATAATTTAATTCTTGGGAAGAATTTTCCTATTTATAAAAATAATTGAATCGTTTCGAAGGATTTATTAGAATTTTTGAAAATAATTGAATTCTTTCGAAAAATTTTATTAAAAATTTCGAAAAACTGTTGAATCTTTTTGTGAAATTTTATTAAAATTGCATTGAAAATAATTAAATTTCTCAAAGAATTTAACTATTTCTAAAAGTAATTGAATTATTCCGAATAATTTAATCATTTATAAAAATAATTGAAATCTTGCGAATAATGTTATTAAATTTTTTGAAAATAATAAACAGTAATAATTAATTATGTTCTTAATTTTGCTAGTAATTTATAAATTTTCAATTTGTTTAATTTACATTTTTGATTTTTATTCTAAATCCAGTAATTTTTAAAATTATTTACGTTGAAAAAATATTTCGTCCATTTGAAAGTTCGTAATTTTTTTAGTAAAAAAAGGAACGTAAAATTAAAATAAACGTTATATTAAGATCAAAAAACAAAAGTAAAGTAAAATAAAAATTAGAGTAAAATAATAGTAAAAATCTGAAATAAACATTAAAAGTTAAATATAAAAGTGTTTATTTCTTTATTATGCAATTTACGTAATTTCTGATATTTTTAGAAAACTATTAAATTATTAAGAGGGAAAAAAATTTCTTGGTCAGTTGAAGGTCGGTTGCACAGTGGAAGAATACATTGAATCGATTTTCAGTGTAAAGACATTCTTAACTAATGCGATTATTTATAAACCGAGCCGGAAAAGATTCAATAAATCTCATTAATTTGGAAAATTTTTTTCTACGAAATGTTATATATTTAGAAATTTGATTCAAACTGTTTTTTTTTCATTAAAATAAAGTTAAAACAACTAAATTTACTGTAAATAAATAAAATTTTATTATTAAAGAAGAAGATGATTACAATTTTTTTAATTTGTAGCTATTTTTAATTTAACTTTGTTTCTATGCAAATTTTTGAAATATTTTTTTCATTATAAATTTTTGACATATTTCCTTTTAATATAAATTTTTCAAATAAAACAAGGTAAACGAAAGAAAACATTCGGACAATGATTAAAATATATTTACTCCATCGTTTCAAATATTTTTTAATAGAAATTTTTTTAATTTTTGTTTATAATACAAATTTTTAAAAATATTTTATTAATTTTTGTTTTTAATCCAAATTTTCAAAATATTATTAAAATCTTTGTTTTTAATACAAATTTTTTAAATATTTTATTAATTTTTGTTTTTAATACAAATTTTTTAAATACCTATTTTAAAAAATTTTGTTTTTAATACAGAATTTTTAAATATTTTTAGGTAATATTTTTTAGGTATATTTTTTAATATATTAATTAATATTTTTCTTTTGAATAGTTTTTGATATAAATTTGATTTTTTTTTGATTTGATTGTAATTTTACTTTAACGTTTAATTTTACTTCTTGGGGGGGGGGGTAGATATTAAAATACATCATAAAGTGGAAAAATGGGAATAAAGAATTAATTTTTGATGATTTTTCAGAAAATCGAGGACTCACCTGTTGCCCTGGATTTGACGAGAGTCCGGATTTGGCGAAGGGTCTCTGGCTGAAAGTTGCACATCGCTGTATGACTTAAAGGTGACCAGTCTATTACCACATTTGGCGTCACTCGCTATTGAAGATACACTAAACAAGGATAAATCGGTTGTCACACTTTCGTGGCTTGGCGAACGTAAAATACGACCAGATGTCACGGTGAGAATTGGTGGTTGCATTGTATTTAATGTATTCGTTACTGTCGGTCCCGGCGATGGTGATTTCGTTTCATTTTCCCCAACAACCGAATTCGTTTGTCTATCTTCCATTATTATCGAAATTATTTCAATTCAATTTTTTTCTTGAATTCAAATTTTTTCCCCCTCAATTTTCTTTGTTTCCTGATGTCTTTGAAATTTTTTTTTCGTAATTTCGTCTTTAATTTTGCAAATAGGGGAAAAATTGTCTCTGTTCCCTGAGTTTGGTTTCTTTTTCCTTCTCGTTCACAATGAACGGAATTTTTCCAAGAGAAACTTGATTTTATTCTTCATTTTCTTTTTTTTTTCTGTGAAATTAGAGAGAAAATGGAATATTTGCTGTGATAATTTTCGTGCCGTGAATTATGTTCCTCTTCACTCAGTTATTAAAGTACTGGTTTGCACTCGATGTCAGCGAAACTCTCCTCTCAGGCATCGACATTGATTGGATGACTAATTAGACACTAATTGCAACTACTTAAAGATACTTTATTTTGTGTGCACTACTTTCGAAATAGATCCCATTAATTGAATCACTAATTTTGCATTTATAATTTTAATGCACCACTTTATCGGGTCCAGATTTACCTCATAATTTCCCTCAATTTCTCGATTATCTGAAAAGAGAGAAAAGGAAAATTGATCTTTATTAAAGAAATAGAAAAAAACTCGTTGAGAGATGAAGTCTTTGGAGAAAGAAAAATGGAACGAAATCATAATATTGAAAAGAGGAAGAAAATGAAATCACAATTAAATTGAAAAGAGCAAAGGAAGAAAATAAAACCGGTTTCTGAAATATTGAAAAATTATATAATTTTTCAATATTTCAGAAACTATTTTTATTTTAATACTGTTGAGTTTAATTGTAGTGTTGGAGATTTAAATTTGAAAAAAAGAATTTAAAAGAAAATATTTTGCGAGTAACGCTAATAAAATGTCGCGTGTAATTTTATACGATGACTGAGGAGTTTGTCGGAAAATCTCGTTTTCTGTTTCCACTACCAATTCCTGTTCTTGACTTGTCTCTCTCTTTTTTACATCATTGCCTTCAATTTTGTTTCTCTCTCTCTCTCTCTTTTCTAACTCCACTCACCATCACCCACTTTTATTCTATATGTTATCTAATCGCGAGACGGCATTCGTACAAATGCCACACGCAATTCACGTGTCCTTATTCAAGTGGAACAAGTCCGACGAGACAGAATCTTTTTTTTTCAGGGAAGCTTAGAGAAAAAAAATGTTTTTCTTATATTAAAAAGACTTTCTTTTTTCTATTGCTTTTTATAATATTGTCAGTATTTGAATTTCTAATCGTCCGATTTTAATTCTTATAATTAATATATTAATTTTTGTCTTTTACCATTCTTCTTTTTCTATTATAATTTGTTTTGAAATTTGAAACTTACAATTTACAATTTATTTGCAAATTGTTTAAAACAATTAATATTGATTTATTTATCATTATTTGAATTTCTAATTTCCGATTTTAATTTTTAATATAAATATCTATATTAATAATAATCGTTGTATTCCGGTAATCTATTCGCAAATCGAAGTTAGTTTTTAATAGCTTTTTTATTTCCTAACTTTTAAAAAAAAAATTTCTTTTTACATATTTTCAATTTTTGGAAAGAATCTTATCAAAAAATTTAAAGAGAATAATTGAATTCCTTCGAAGAATTTTTTTATTTTGTGAAAATAATTGAATTCTCGGGAAGAATTTTATTAAAATTTTTAAAAATCCTAATTAAATTTTTTTTAGAATAATTTCTTTGCATTTTTTTAAAATAATGGAGTTTCTTTAATAATTTTAATAAAAAATGTTTAAACTGAATCATTTTAGAAAATTTAAATAAAATTTTTCGCAGGAATTAAATCATTTTCGAAAATAACAAAATTCTTAACAGAAATTTAATTATTTCCAATACAATTTTTATTAAAATTTCTAAAAATTCAATAATTTTCAATAATTTTCAAAATAATTTGAAAAAATTCTTAATTAGAATTCAATTCTTTTCAATACAATAAAATTTTAATTTAATTCCTCCATGGAAATCGATTTTTTTCAAAAGTTTTATTAATTTAAAATCCTTTGATAGAATTAAATTATTTTCAAAAATTTTGATAACATTTTTTTATTCCAATTCAATTATACTTAATACATTTTTAATCGAGTTTCTTGTAACAATTTAATTATTTTTAACAATTTTTTGCAAAAATTTAATTATTACCTATTATAAATAATAGAATTTCTCGAAAAAATCAAATAATTTTAGTATATAATTTTAATTAATTTCTTTGAGAGAATTTAATTATTTTCAAAACTTTTTTTTAAAGAATTTTAGCAAAATTTCTAAAAGTAATTGAATTTTTTCCATGGATCTCGATAAAAATTTTAAAAATAATTCGATTCTTTAGAGGAATTCTATTAAAATTGTTTTGAAAACAATTGAATTTCTGCAAAAAATTTTACTATTTATAAAAATAATTGAATTGCTTTCATAAATTTATTAGAAGTTTAGAAACAAATTAAATTTTATGGAAATATTTGAATTCTTTCGAGAAATTTTATTAAAATTGTATTGAAAATAATTGAATGCCTCAGAAGAATTTCGTTATTTATAAAAAATAATTGAATTCTTGCGAAGAATTTTACTATTTATAGAAATAATTGAATTGTTTCGAAGGATTTATTAAGATTTTTGAAAATAATTGAATTTATTCGAAATGCATTAAAATTTTTTTTAAAAATTGAATTCTACTGAGGAATTTAATTAAAATTGTTTTGAAAATAATTGAATTTGTGCAAAGATTTTACTATTTATCAAAACAATTGAATTGTTTCGAAGGATTTATTAAAATTTTAGAAAATAATTGAGTTCTTTCGAAAAATTTTATAACGAATTAAGAAGAAAATTTAATTCTTTCGCGAAATTTTATTGAAAATAATTGATTTCCTGCAAAGAATTTTACTATTTATAAAAATAATTGAATTGTTTAGAAGGATTTATTAAAATTGTAGAAAATAATTGAATTCTTTTGTGGAATTTTATTAAAATTTTGTTAAAAATAATTGAATTTTTGCAAAATATTGTACTATTTATAAAAATAATTGAATTCTTCCGAAGAATGTTATTATTTATACAAAAATAATTGAATTCTCGCGAAAAATCATATTAAAATTTTTGAAAATATAAACAATAATAATTAATTTTGTACTTAATAAGTCAAATTTTTAAATTTTGATTATGAAATTATTTAAAAATTTATAATTGAAAATAAAATTGCTTGTTTCTTTTATAATTTATTTTGAAATTTGTAATTCACAATTTATTTGCAATTTTTTGCGTTTAGATTTTTTTTTTTGAATCGTAAAATACTTTGATAAAATTTGCTACTCACTTTCATTCCGTATGAAAATATAATTCCTTTTCAGGAGTAATTACAATTTTTTCTCCAATTTAATTAAATTGTATATTGTGAATATTTGGGAATTAATTGAATAACAATTAATACTGAAATGATTCTCACTCGAAAATTTGTGATAAAAAATAATTCACCGTAATTTAGGGATTGTCGAAGTTTTCTTCTAATTTTTCTTGTGACTTGGATTTGTTTCTATTTTTAGAAATTGGAAGAAAAATCTTTTAAAACACCCGTTTACTTTACGTTTTTTTTTCTTTTTGCAGAAATGAACCGCATCGACCTCGTGTTATCACTGTCAGGAACCGATTCTACATGCACATCGATCCACGGTCACGTACTAAAGTATCTGTGCACCACGAAAAACCAATAACACACTGTATTATGGGGATGAAAGAGAGAGAGAGAGTGAGAGAGAGACGAAGAAAAGAGCTTGAGAAAGGTAAATAGAACACCATGCCACTCATTGTCTCTCATGGACAATGACCTCTTGATAAACGAGCATTCACATTTGAAATTAAAAATAATTTTTTTAGAAAAGAGGGAAAATGGGATTTTTCACCTTCTAAGTAACTTGGAATTTTTTTTCTCTCTTCTTTTTCAACGTAATTGAGTAAATTTTTTTTTTATAATTCTCGAATAGATGAGTTTTATCTCGGGAATCGATGACACGCAGCACACGCGTTTATGCCACGTTCTAGATGAATGGCGATTGTTTCCGGTTGGCTGCTGTATAGGGGTAGTTTCTGCACAGGCGTCGATCGATAGGGGTGAAGGAGGGCGTACTTTGACTCCCACTGATTTCACCAGGGAGAGTTACCTAGTTTCAAGAATTTCACTTGGTGTCCTTTACGCACATTTTTTTCCTCCGATTTCTGTTAATTGAAAATTTTCGTCTTTTTTTCTTTTTTTCTTTTTTTCTTTTTGTAAAATAGTAATTGAATATTTTAATTATTTGAAACTTAATATGTACTTTGATTTAGTACCGGTTTTTGCTAATTTAACTTTCGTCTCTTTAACTTCAACAATATGATTCTAATTTTCAATTAAAAGGTTGAAAATTCAGTTACGCTCAATTAATTAGAATATTATAAATTTAGAGTCTTATTCTTTCTTTTTTATAATTATAATTATAATTGGATATTATAATTTTATTTGAAACTCATTACTCAGATTTAATATCGGTTTTATTAATCCGTCATTTTATTAACTACGACAATTTGATTATAATTTCTATTTCTATCTAAAAGGTGGAAAATTCATTTGACAATGGATTTCCAATTAATTAGAATTAGAATAGGAATTTAGATTTTATCGTTTATAATTCTAATAATTATTTAAAAAAAATTATGATTAATTAATTAGAATACAACTTTAGAATATTTTTCCTTCTTTTTTTAAATTCAAAAAATAATACCTATTATAAAAATTATAATTATTACAATTCAAAACAATATTCAATTTATTTAATAAATTTTAAGATAAAATTCTTTGCGTGAAATACAATTATTTAAAAATCTTTTTTTAAAATTCTTTATAGGAATTAAATTCTTTTCAATACAATTCAATTTTAATTAACTTTCTTCCAATGAATTTAATTATTTTCAAAAGTTATAGTAAAATTTTCCGAAACCGTTCAATTATTTCTAAAAATTCTTTGCAAAAATTCAATTATTTTTCAAAGTTTAAGTAAAATTTTTTTAAAAAATTTTTTATAAACAAATTTAATAAAACTCTTCAAAATATTTCAATTATTTCTATAAATAATAAAATTCATCAGAAGAATTTAATTACTTTTATAAAAAGCAAAATTCTTTGCAGGAATTCAATTATTTTGAATGCAATTTTAATAAAACTTCACGAAAGGATTCAATTATTTAAAAAAATTTTATAATAAAATTTTCCCAAAGAATTCAATTATTTTCTAAAATTTTAATAAATGCTTCGAAAGAATTCAATTATTTTTAAAAATAGTGAAAATTCTTCTCAAGAACATTTTAATTATTTTCATAAATAACAAAATTCTACACAGGAATTCAATTCTTTCAACATAATAGAATTTTAATTAAATTCCTTGAAAGAATTGAATTATTTTCAAAAAATTTTTAGTAAAAATTCTTCGAAGCAATTCAGTTATTTACAAAATTTTTTATAATATATTCAATTATTTTCATAAATTATAATTTATAAAATTCTTTCCAGTACTTCAATTTTTTTCAATGTAATACAATTTTAATTAAATTCCGCAAAAGAATTGAATTATTTTCAAAATTTTTTTACGAAATCCGTGGGAAAGATTCAATTACTTTTAGAAATTATGATAAAATTCTTCAAAAAAAGTTTTGAAAATAATTAAATTCTTTCAAAGAAATTAATTAAAATTGTATACTTAAATTATTTGATTTTTTTGAGGAATTCTACTATTTATAATAATAATTAAATTTTTGCAAAAATTGTTAAAATTAATTACATTTTTTCGAGAAATTCCAGTAAAAATGTACTAATTATAATTGAATTGAATTCTAATAAACAAATGTTGTCAAAAATTTTGAAAATAATTTGAATTCTTTTCAGAAATTTATTAAATTTTTTTAAAAATAATTGAAATCAATGAAGATATGTTTTTGAAATATTATTTAAATTTTGTAATATATAATTGAATTCCTCCGAAGAATTTTATTATTATTTATGAAACTAATTAAATTCTTGCAAAAACTATCAAAATTTTTATAAAATAATTGAATTCAATTCTATCAAAATTTTTTAAAATAATTTAATTCTATCGAAGGATTTTAAATTAATAAAACTTTTAAAAAAAATTTATTTCCTTGGAGGAATTTAATTAAAATTTTATTATATTGAAAAGAATTGAATTCTATAATTAGGAATTTTTTCAAATTTTTTAAAAATTATTGAATTTTGAGAAATTTTAATAAAATTGTATTCGAAATAATTAAATTTCTGTTAAGAATTATGTTATTTTTGAAAATAATTGAATTCTTGAGAAGAATTTTATCATAATTTTTGAAAATAATTTAATTCTATCGAACGGTTTTAAATTAATAAAACTTTTGAAAAAAATTGATTTGGAGGAATTTAATTAAAACTTTATTGTATTGAAAAGAATTAAATTCTAATTATAAGAATTTTTTCTAATTTTTTTGAAAATTATTAAATTTTGAGAAATTTTAATAAAATTTTATTAGAAACAATTAAATTTCTGTTAAGAATTATATTATTTTTGAAAATAATTTTATCCTTCCGAAGAATTTTATTAAAATTTTTTTAAATAATTCAATTTGTTTCAAAGATTTTTATTAATATTTTAGAAAATAATAAATAATAATTAATTAGTTGATAAGTGAATTTTTAAAAATTTTAAATCTGAAATCAGAACATTAAAGTCGATATTTGAAATTAAAAATATATGAAATTTGCTTAATAATAAATTAAATAATAATAATTAATTAAAATAATAAATAATTCTTAGAATTAATATATTAAAAATGTTTTTTTTTCTTTTTTTTATAATATCGTAAAATGACCATGTTATCAATTTCATTTTAGTATAAATTGAGAAAACTTCATCTAGAAATCGTACCAAGGGGATAAAAATTAATAATGAAAAAAAGGCCATTGAGAATTCAAAGTTATAAATTGTTACCAATTTTTATTCAATTCAGTGGTATAAGTCAGTGTCGCTACCGACGCAGGACAGTAAAACGGAAACAAATGAAATTTATTATTTCTGTCTCCAAATCAATTTTCATTCTTATTGATTTTTATTATATAGGTTATGAAAATTTGATTTAAAAAATGTAGATTTAAAATTTTTTGTTCTGTTCAATTTTTCTCACTTATTCAAGTCAAACATCAATCAAGTCAAAAAATAAAAAAAAAAAATTGAGAAATATATAAAAATTATTAAATTTACCAATAGAAACGTGAAATAGAGATAAAAACAAAATCCTCGACTAAATACTAGGTCAAAATAAAAATAAAAAAAATACTGATCTAAAAATAAAAAATTTATTGACAGGAAAAATGGAAGATTTATAAACAATCGAAAAGCAATGTTAAATTGTATATGCAAATATTATTTCCCTTCTTTTCTGATCTCGTTACTCTTGTTCAATTAATAATATATTTAATATTTAATTTATAATTTCAATTTGCAGAAAATTAATGAATACCCGGAAGCTGAAAATATGTATTTCCGAGAGACAAGTTCTCTAATTAACATAAACTTTGAACTTGCGGGAATGGCAGAATGCAAAGAGGAAAAAGATGAAGAGAAGGAAGAGAAGGAAGAGATGGAGGAGGAGGAAAGGATAGATTGAGGAAATTCACAAGAGGCTTCCTGCTGTGTGTGATTGAGCAATGAGCATATCCCGGGGGATATATTATGAATGTGGATTATTTGCAAACGTGGGCGGAGATCACGATCGTGCGTGAAACGAAGCAACAAGAGTTTAGTTTGTGACGGTGTCTCTCACGAGGAGGATTGCCTGTCGGAATATCGTTTTAAATTAGAAGAAGAAAAATTTATACAATTAAAAAGAAAAAAAAAAAGAAAACAGTGCCTCAACTAATTTTACCACGATGCCGACAGATCAGCTGAGTACTTCTTGCAAAATTGGTGAGTTAACATTGACATTATTCAATTACTCAGGTTCCCACCCCCGCCCCCCCACTCAAGTTTATTATTCCTTCCCAACATGTAGTTTTAATGTTAACCTTGATGCAATAATTGGCAGTTATTAATTTAACGTAGGTAATTAATAAATGTGCAAGATTTAACGTAATGAAATCGAAATTATTACTGTTAGTTTATTAATATTAATTATTATTTTTATTATTGTTGTTATTAGTTATTATTTTTATTAATTATTATTTTTATTATTATTATTATTATTATTATTATTATTATTATTATTATTATTATTATTATTATTATTATTATTATTATTATTATTATTATTCAACACTAGAGAGAATGATATTAAAATTATTATTTTTATTATTGTTGTTATTATGATATTATTTTTATTTTAATTGTTCTTTTTTAATTATTATTATTTTTTAAATTATTGTAGCCCTTTCAAAATATTAATTATAATTTGGGTATAATTTAATTATTATAGATTAATCTATAAAAATTAAAACTTAAAATAACTATCGATGAATGAAATAATTGAATGAAACCAAGCGAACGTTTATATTTTATTATAATTAAAATAATAATTAAACTTCGTAAGCTGTTAATTAGTTTGACCCAATTAACAAAGTTCATATAATTTCAACATATTTTAAGGAAATGCTTAATTTTTGGATCTAAATATTTATTTTGCAAATGACAAGTAATTTTCAACGGATATATAATTTAGTCGAGAAACTTGTTTTAATTTAATAATTTAATAACCATAACAATTGATGGTTATTATTATTATTATTATTATTATTAATTATTATATTAATTAATATTATTAATATTTATTTATATAATTATATTTATTATTAATATTATTGATAGTAATAATAATTATCGTTTACCTCAATGATTTATTTATAATAATAATAATAATTAATAGTTATTGTTATTCTTATAATTATTATTTTAATTACAAAATTTTTTATTTTCAAATATCAACTTCAATTTTTGAACAATTTTCGATTCAATTCAATTATATTTTTAGATTAAATTCTTCTCAAAGATTCAATTATTTTCTACAATTTTTGTAGGAATTTAAGTATTTTAAAAAATTTTAATAAAATTAGTCGAAAAAATTCAATTATTTTCAAAAATTTTAATAAAATTCTTGATAAGTTTTCAATTATTTTCATAAATAATAAAATTAATCTCAGAAATTCAATTATATTGAAAAATTTTGATAAATAATTCTTCATAAGAATTCACTTACTTTTAATAGAATTGTAATAACATTCTTAGTAAGACATCAATTATTTTCATAATTAATAAAAATTCTAAAAAAATTCAATTATTTAAAAAAAAATTATTTATAATATTTTTCGTAAAAATTCAATTATTTTCAATAAAATTTCTTAAAAGAATTCGCAATTATTTTTTTAATTTGATAAAATTCTTGCCAAGAATTCAAATATTTAGAGAAATGTTTAAGTCTTTATGAGAATTGGAATATTTTCTATATATACAATTTTAATTAAATTCCTCGAAAAATTCAATTATTTTCGTAAATTTTAATACAATCCTTAAAAAGATTTAAATTATTTTCATAATTTATACAATTTCTTGCAAACATTAAATTATTTTAAAGAATTTTAATAAAATTCTTCTCAGTAATTTGAATATTTTGAAAACTTTTGTTAAAAATATTGATGAGAATTGAATTCTTTTCATAAATAATAAAATTTTTCGCAGGAATTTAGATATTTTAAAGTATTTTTAAAAATTTATGAATTAAATTTATTTATTATTTTTAAAAATTTAAATAAATTTCACAAAAGAATTCAATTATTTAGAAAAGATTTAATAAAATTCTTCGGAATAATTCAATTATTTTCAAAAATTTTGATATAATTCTTTATGACAATTTAATTATTTTCTATACAATTGAATTTTAATGTAATTTCATTAATAAATTTAATTATTTTCAAAAGTTTTAGTAAATTTCTTCGGAAAAATCTATTTATTTTCAAAAATATTCATAAAGTTCTCCGAAAGAATTCAATTATTTTCAAAAATAATAAAGTTCTTCCAAGAAATTCTTCAAATAATTCTATTTTTAAAAATTCTGATACAATATATTTATAAGAATTCAATTCGTTTTAATACAATTTTAATTAAATTCTTTGGAAGAATCTGATTATTTAAAAAAAAAAGTTTTTTTCATTCTTTGAAGGAATTTAATTATTTTTAAAAGTTTTAAAGAAGTTTTTCCGAAGAATTAATTGTTTTTTAATACAGTAGTTATAAAATTCCAAATATTTATTAAGGAAAATTATGAAATAAGTTAGGAACCAAAAAAGCAAATAACAACTAAATAATAATAATTATTATTATCTGTGATTTAAATAAATAGATTTTAATTATTAAAATGAATTAAAATTATAAATTATTTTAAATAATTTAATATTTGTATTGTTTTGTTACTATATAAAACAGCAAATTAGGTAGTGTAAAGAAATAACGTAATTATAAAAATAAAAATAAAAATAAGAATAAAATAGTATAGAAGAAATATATAATCGATAAGCGAATGTATCGATTGGATAAAAAAAAATACTTTTCTGCACTTTAATACTCGCCAATCTATATACATAAAGAAAAACTGGTGTGAATACGGAAATTTCGTTTTAATGAAAGTATTACTTGAACTAATAAAAAACACTCCTACGTAATGATTAGGTTAATTATCAGAGTTATTTTTACACACGTAGATTACGAATTCAATGAAAATTTTCCAAGTCACGAAATGCATTATTTTAATGTCATCCATAAAGTTAAATTAGAGTTTCAATGAAGAAAAAAAAAAATAAAAACATCAAGAAAAAAAAGAAACTAAACTATAAAAAACAATTTCTCGCTCTAATTATGTACACCTTGTTTTTTTTAAACAAAATATTTTTCATTTTTATATTATGGAAAAATTTCACATGAAATTCATGGGATATTTACTGATATCGCACGAAAAGTAATAAAATTCCATTATAGCGATAGTTGGAACTTGCAATTATAGATCACGACATTGAAAGAGAAAATATTCGAAAGTTTACAATTAACATTGAGAGTGAAAACTTTGGTAATTATGAATTATTTCTTTCTTCTTTTTTTCATGAATATTGAGGAAAAATTTGTTATTTTCACTTTACATTTCAAAATGTCAATTTTCACGAGTTGTAGTTTACGTTTTGTATATGTTGCGGATAAAATAGTCTATAGAAAATGTTTCTCGCTCGGTTACTATTTTTATATACGAAAGAGAATGTCACTTCTAAATTCAGTAATGATATCAATGACCACTTTAGAGGCGTTTTCAGATCGAAGATTATAGAATTAGCATCGAATTCATTTTACGATGTGAATCTCAATGAATTTTCTGATAAATTACATTTCCATTCAAATTATTGTTATTCTACTGTGTATATAATATAATGTATTTATATTTTTTGTGATATAATTTATTTATATTGTTTACTTGTAAATAATCTAATGAATAATTTTACTTAAATATTTCAAAATTAATTGAATTTTAAAAAAGTTGCGTTTACAATTTTCGTAAATAGATGAACTTCAAAAGGTTTAAATTTAAAATCTGGTAAAATTTCAATTTTGAATGGATTTATAATTAGAAATTTTAAAGAACTTAGTTTTTGCAAAAATTATAATAATTAAAATTTTTCGGAAATCAGTAAATTTTTTTAATATAGGTATATTTAATTAGTTATTAAAAATAATGAATTTATAGAAGAATTTTAGTTAAAAATGCAATAAGAACAATTGGATTTTGCAAAATTTACAAATGATTGCAGAAATTGAATTATATTATTTTCAAAAGTAATAAAATTTCTTGGTCCAATTATTTTGAAAAATTTCCCTCAATTCGATGATTTTCAATATTTACTATTTAATTATTTACCAAATTTTTTTTATAAATTTCTTTATAATAATTCCAATATTTTCCTATACTTTTACAGGAATTCAATAAATTATTCTCAATGCAATTTTAATAAAATTTTAAGAAAGGATTCAATTATTTGAAAAAAATTTTACTAAAATTTTTCGAGAGAATTTAATTATTTTCAAAAATTTGAAAAGCCTTCTAAACAATTCTTATAAATAGTAAAATTCTTTGCAAGAATTTAATTATTTTCATAAATTTAATTATTTTCATAAATGATAAAATTCTTCACAGGAATTTAAATAGAATTCCTCAAAAGAATTTTAATATTCTTCGAAGCATTAAAATATATTCAAAACAATTTCAATAAAATTTCTTTATAGAATTCAATTATTTTTCAAAATTTTAATAAAATAATTGAAAAAATCAATTGTTTTCAATTTTTTTTTTTAAATTCTTGAGAAGAATTCAATTAATTTCAGTACAATTTTAATTATCTTCCTTCAAAGAATTTAATTATTTTCAAAAATTTTTTTTTATAGGTATTTTATCAAAATTTTTAAAAGTAATTGAATTGTTTTCATAAATTTTGTAAAAATTTTTGAAAATAATTCAATTCTTTCAAGGAATTTAATTAGAATCGTATTATGATGAAAAAAAATTAAATTCCTGTAAAGAATTTTATTATTTTTGAAAATAATTGAATTCTTTCAAAAAATTTTATTACAAATTGTTGAAAAAAATTGGTTTGTGTTGTGAAATTTCATTAAAATTGCATTGAAAATATTTGAATTCTTGCAAAGAATTTTACTATATTTATAAAAATAATTGAATTTTTCTGATGAATTTTATTATTTACAAATATAATTGAAATTTTTTGAAGAATTTTATGAATTTCGAGAGAATTTAATTATTTTCAAAAATTTCAAAAGCCTTCTAAACAATTCTTATAAATAGTAAAATTCTTTGCAAGAATTTAATTATTTTCATAAATAATAAAATTCTTCACAGGAATTCAATTTTTTTCAACATAATACAA